ATAGTTTGGATATTGTGCAACATTACAAGATAAAAGAAGAGTAAAAAAAGTAAGCTAATTGGTTTTGACATATTAGCTAACCAAATTATATATACATTGAAGAAACAAATTTAGAGATTGAGGTTATCTATTAGAGGTTGTGAAAACATATGTGGTGGACACGGTTAGAACTAAGCTAATTAGTTAATTTTGACATATTAGCTAACCAAATTATATTTCTAGCTAGTTGCTCCCTATCCAATCATTAGATAGGTAATACCAACCGAATTGGTGTGCAACTTTTAAACGTTGCAAAAAGAAAATATAGAGATTTGCCAATCTCTGTCAAACACGGAGGCATGTATTAATGTGGTAATGGTATCACACAGTACTAGGGTTTGCAGGTTGTAAAACACGGTGGTGCGTTTCTGTTATCCTGGTTGTCTTAGGAGTCAAGTTGCGGGAGCTAAGTCGGAGCTTTGCAGGTTTTGGAACTCTTGTACTAGAGATAGTTTAAGCTGTATTTATGAAAGCCATGTAAAAATATGAATTTTAAAGCTACCTTCACCTTCACGTGAAAAGCAGCAAAAACTTGCTAATTTCTTGATAATTTTTGTTTGGAAGACGGGGAAGCTAGAAAGCGTTTTCTGTTTTTCCTTCTTCTGTGATGGTCAGCTGCAGAAGGAGAAGGCAGCACAAGGGGAGGACTTGTACCGTTGTTTTGTTTTTCTCTAATAATAAAAAACAAAGGTATCCATGATAACTTTTTTTTTTTTTTTGGAAACTAGTATCCATGATAATTTAGTTGGTAGACTTTTTGTTCATAAGGCTAATATATATCTCTATATATATACAAAAAGGCATTTCAAAAGTTTTAAGGAGCCAAAAATGACACATGTGAACTACAACTAATTGATCGAGACGATGTATCTTTATTCTCTTGCACGCAAGTTCGAACTTGTCCTAGTTGCCTCTTTGGAAAATATAAGCGATACTGATTTTTCTTACTAATACGAACGAGAGGAAAGGTAACGTTTGAACAAACTATATGGATAAAAAAAATCATAAAAACGCCATTGGCTTTAATAAATACAGTAACTGAGCTCAACCTCTCTCTACTACAAGCAGGGACAATATACATGTGCACGCGTTATGAAACCTGCAAAGCTCTGATGCGCAATTAGCTCCCAACGGAATTGGATGACAATGAAGACATTTTGGCTTGGTGGTTTCAGGGAAAATGAAAGAGGTAAAACCATTTATTTTGTGTGGATCAACATGTTTATTTTCTTCGATTCCTCATTTACAAAGACAACGCCTTTCTCTCCGCTTTCGAGCACATTTACCTTCTTGGATCTCGATAGATTTTGGCTCACTTTTCTGAGACGGTAGTGCAGGCGACGGTCTTGGGGCTCTCCTATCTGATTTCTGACCATGGATTTGTTCATATGATGACGGTCTCAGCTGGTATATGCGATGAATTTGGAGGCGGAGCATGGAGTTGCAAGCTGTCAAGGGGTTCGCGGCTGGCGAGAGAGAGAATGGGTGAGCGATCTTAGGGAAATTACAGAGTGAGAAAAGGGAGGGATGGGGGGATTTGATGGATGTTTACAGAGGGTCGGGGAGAAAAAGAGGGAATGAAAAAGGGGATGGAAAGAGACGGATAAACAGTCGAAGCTGAGCAATCCACAATGATTGACGAGTAGGCGCTCTTCCATTGTGCAAAGCGGTGGCAATTTCGTAAATAAATAGAAATTCCAATCTGAACATCAGTGAGGGCGGTGGCAATTTCGTAAATAAAGTGATATTCGGTCCAAAACAACTGTTCATTTGAACAGTGCAATTGAAAACCCTTCTTTAGACTAAAGTAATGTTTCGATCGTAAGATCAATCAAGATATAATTAAGGGAAATTTTATTTAAACTCATTTAACCTCTTTTAACACTCAACTTAAATTTTAAATGTTAATTGTCTATTTCATCATATTGCATAATTACTATTAAGTACAAAATGAAATTAATAATAAAACTCAAATTTATCAATAAATCCAAACACTATAATTAAATTAAACCCTACAATCACTTTTTGTTTATCCTAAATTAAACCCAAACACTATTGCTCTGATATTTATCTTATTCGTATTACTTGGAAGGCTAATTTTCTCTTTACTCGTGAAGATGTTGAAGACAAATATATTTCTGGAGGCACAACCAATGGAACTCTAACAGAAAAGAATGAAACTAAAAGCACGAAGGTAAAAACTTTGAAGCTTAAACTTTTCTCTGCAATATTTTAGGCACTAACTTCTGTGACATTCCCAGGTTTCTGTTGCTGATAATGTTCGTTGGAAGGAACTTGGAGCTCTTGTAGCAGTCTGGCTTGTAATACTTGCAATGCAGATTGCTAAGGTTTTTATCTAGTGTCATACGTAGTCGGTTTTCCTTACACCGAATCTTTCCATATGGAGTCTCCTTCACTTCTTTGCATTAAGAAATCAAATTAACGTGAATCTTACTTGTCGGTGCAGACTTATGTGAAGAAATGTTCCGGAACATATTGGTTGATAGAACTCTTGTAGTTACGTACATCTTCCATGCTTCTTGTACTAGGAAAAGAAAAACTTCTTTGTGCCTGCAGATAGCCAGAAATATGACCAAGATGAGACTCCCATTGATGGAATTTTTTCTTGTCGTATAAATTAGATTCCGGTGGCAATTGGAGTAACTTCATATCGGGCAGTTAATCTGTACAAAGGGCGCAGAGTAATTGCATCGAAGGAAGAAGCAAGCACAAAGTGGCCAGTTTACAAGCTTATTGCTTATTGCTTATTGCGCTGGTGGCATAGCAGCTGGTATCCTTGGTGGATTGCTTGGCCTCGGCGGAGCATTCATGTTAGGTCCCATTTTTTTAGAGATGGGAAAACAAGTGGGAGCAAAGATAAATTCACATATTGAATTGGGTTTATGGGGATATATTAGGTACTAAACTTGGGTTTAAAGAGATATTAATAGTTTCGTTAAAAATTAAATGGATGAAAAGAGTAAGTTGGGTGTAGAAATAGGTTAGATGGGCTTAAATAAAATTTTCCTATAATTAATCTTTGTTGTTAAATGACTTGCTAGGCTTTTGATGGATAACCAAGGAGGTGGTAATCCAGCGTCCAATGCCGCAGACCAACCACGGTGTTGGCTTGGGCTGCAATTTGTGATAGTGATTCTTGCATTCCTAATTGTCATATGGGCATACTACATGCGTGACGAGTCTGCAATAAAAAAGCCGTTAAAAAAATAGGAACTAAAATCACAAGGAGGAACTAAAATCACCTTATAAAATTGAATAAAGTTATAAAGATGTAGAAAGTAGAACTTCTACCACTGGCACTGCCATTAAATACACATGCACAGACATGGAGTCAAGTGTTATCGTATATTTGTACTTTTGTCTTAGCCCACATCCAACGCATCCACTAACACCTCATCAGTCTAATTTATGCATCTATCTTCCAGTTATCCAGTCACACTTCTCTAATACTTTCAGAATCATTTATGTGCTTAGTCTAAGACTTCATATATGATGGGTGCACATCATGGTTCTCAATGGATGTGTAGGCACATGAGAAATGATAGGATTAAGATATCTGAGGTAAAATAGGAGTAACCTGAATTGAAGATAAGATGGGAGGAAATCGATTAAGGTGTTGGGCACATGAACTGAAAACCTTCAGATGCTTCAGTTAGAAAATGTGACTATGAGAAGGAGACTCAAGACAAAATGGGTAGATAAAGACCTAGGAAAGAGACTATAAGAAAAGATATGGAGTACTTTGAGCTAACAGAAGACTTGATGCAAAGTCATTCCAGTTACATTACAGGATTCATACAGCCGATCTCACTTAGTGAGATAAGATTTAGTTGTTTGGTATTTTCATTTTTGGATTTCAACATATATCAGTGTGACATAAATACTCTTAAAGTTGCCTTACAATTACAAGCAACCAACCTTCCTTTTGTGTGGTCGAGCAAGGTTCATGCATGGAGGATATTAAAGGACCGCCGGTTCATACGAATGTGGAAAATCATCAGCTGTTTTTCATTTTTGCAGAAAGAGTTTGGCCATGGATGATAGTGTAGGTAATAGGTGGTGCAACCTCAATCAATGGTCCATATAATGGAAACATAGACACACCATATTAGCCACATTCTAATCATGTACATTTTTATGTTTCCACACTAGTCTTGAAAGCCTACACCAAGATCCGATTTGTGCTTCACAGTGCAAAATCATTCTCCAGTTTCACCTTTTAAACTTCACAGTGCAAGATCCGATTTGTGCTTCAAAGCTAAAGGTTTTTTTTTTTATTTTAGTTACTCATAGAATTATCATTTACATGTTAACCACGATGAATTATCACTATATGAAAGCTTATATTCTTTGTGTTGTCTATATTACTTGGATAATAGCTTGCCTCAACAACTTATACAGATTGTTAAGGATAGTACTTTCATCAAAAAAAAAAAAAAAAAAAAAAAAGAAAGCTAAAGGATAGTAATTACTTACAAAAGAATAGAGAAACCCTAACCCTAACCCTAGCAGCTGACTGTGCAAGAATCCCTATGACTATGAGCCATGGCTTGATTATATAGCTGAGCCTGAGCATGGTTATCATCATGCGGGCACTGCCTCTGATCCAGGTTATGCTTTTATCTTTCATGCGGTTTTTGTCTTCAAATTAGAGTAGATTTTTTTCTCTTCCTATTCTCATTCCCTTACCTCCCATTTCTCACAAATTACTTTTTATCTTATTGTCTCTATAAAAAAAAATCAAAATAAGATATTGACATGGTTTAACCGTAACCGTTCAAGTAGGAGGAGATGGAAGATGAGAGAGATTAGGAGGGAAGATAACCTTCATCCCTTCGAATTAGGTTGATGCTTTTATTCGTGGAGTAAAGAATCCCAACTACTATTTTCAGATCCAATCGAAACTAATAATCCCAACTACTATTGTACTAATCCCAACTAACTATGTTCTCTTTCCCTCCCCGCACAATCCCATTATATAATCACATGAGAATTGACACTTTTCAAAACCTAACCCTCCTCTTGTTCTTCTCCTGCTGCTTGTTTGTTTTATAGAGATAAGAGAATATAGTTTGTGGGTGGGAGAAAAATCTATCCGAGAACAACTCCTGCTTACTTTGTTTGTTACATGCTTACTTTGTTTGTTACATAGAGTGTAGGTGTGAAAAAAGTTTGTGAGAGAAAATAAAATACAAGGTAGGAAAGGGAAAGGGAACACAATACAATATATGCTCTGATTTAAGGTATGGAAAATTCTCAACTTGTTAAACTTATAATGTGCTGCTTGGGGCAAAAAAAAAAAAATAATACTCACAGTGTTGCTGCCCTACCGGGGAATACTAAAATTTTCCTATTGTTTTTCATTTAACAGATTGTTGCTACCTCCGGAATGGAGTCCCCAACTGAATCGGATGACGATGAAGACCCTCAAATTGCTTGTCACACAATTTTGGCTTTGGTGGTTTTAGGGAAAATGAAAGAGGTAACCCTTTATTTTGTGTGAATCAACATATGTTTATTTTCTTCGAGCTCCTCATGTACAAATACAACGTCTTTCTCTCCACTTTCTAGTTCGAAGCTCATACACGTTCACATTCTTTTTTATTTCAAGGTTTACTTTGACAAACACTGACCACAAAATTCTACCTGTCTTTGACTCCTTAGATACATAGTAAATATGTTTATTGTTTCTCGTTCATTGTTTGCTTGCTTGATGGGTTTTAGTCAATCTTTTGCTTATTAATGGATGGTTGAGGATCTTGGGATGGTCAGTTTTATGAGCATTGGGTGATTTGGGTTAGCCATATGCACTGCTTAAAGATGAACAAAATTATGTAGTTGTTTACTTTCCTTAATGATTTATATTATGAGCTCAAAGTTGGATTTATTTTTATTTTTATTTTTTGGAGTTTGATTGTTCATGTTTGGACCCAATGATATATTTTGTTCTATTGTTATGTACTTTCTAGATATGACCGGTGGAACGGAAGACAAAATTGAAGTGATTATGCTTCCAGCTCAGCCATCGTGTCTCCAGCACTCTAACTGATCCGTACTCTAAATTACAACGAAAACTATATACGTAGATCATATTTTAGCAGATTCCCTTCATGATTTGCCCAAGGAATCCATCAGAACAACAGCAAAAGAAGCAAACACAATCCCTGGATTGTGTCACTAATTGGAAGAACCCTCAAGTCATGCTACAGAAAATATTTCTAAACTTATAACTGCAAACTAAGAACCATATTTTTCTATTCTTTTTTAAATAGGAAACCTTAGTTATTTTCTTCATTATTAGTTTCCTATAACATTTTCTTAAATTGTCAAAAGAGTCAATGCTCCTATAACTTTCTTATATCTTTTTGGAAAAATTCAAGCATAGAAAGGAGAAGAAAGGGGAACTTTTCCTCAAACCCAACTTTGAACTTCCAAGTTCAAATCACTTATACATATTACCTTATTCTTACATTTTCGTAGTTTACCCTTAACTAGGGGTCACATAGAAACCCTTAAGTAGCAAAAATAAGAAGAAATATATGCATATACAAAAAGATGATACCAATATTCAGATTCATATCTCTCGTTTCAAATTACTTACTGAAGTTTGCCTGTACAAGATTGCCAAAGGAATCATGTTTGAATGACTGCCAACTTGACCAATCCATAACCTTTCCAATGTTGCTCCTGGAATTAGATTCTTTGTTAAGGAGAAATAATTATATGTTCTGCCAAATTAGAGAACAAAAGGTTGGATAAGAAAACATGTTTTTATATATAGATGAAATATTTTGTTAAAAAAAGGGAATTATATCTTCTGATAAATAATGTGCATACATAAAACAACCATGTGCTCATCAGAGAAATCTTCCGTCTCTGTCAATAAATTCTGAATTTAGCTGAAATATTCCTCTTTGTCCTCTGGTGTTGTTTACTCTATCTCTTGTTACTAACTTTGTGTTTGTTACGCCAAAAAAAAGAGCATCGCTAAAGTGAAATTTCTGTATACAAATGAAGTAGATAAAATTTTAGAAATGCAACTACCAAGAATAAAGTAACACTCGGGAAATATGTCTTATAAATAGAGATTTTTGGTTGGGGAGTTTTTGTGTTAATATGTGGTGACTACTCAATGATAAACAACACAAAGTAGGTAGTAACAATCACAAAGTGAATAGGGATAGTTACCTGCCAGTGTCGAATTCGAAGTATTCCTATTTTTACTAAAGATCATGCTATGACATGAAAGATTCCATACTTGTAACATCCCATCAGAATGAAGCACAAATGCAAGTGCGTTTCCACGAAAGATGCATATCACCAAGTCTTGCACAGCCCCTATCCTCCTTCCCCTGCATTATAAGTTCATTTTCCAGGGTATAAAAGAGTAATTAACACGGCAATTTAAAACTCTACAGTTCAAGAAAGAAAACTAAAGTGATCCATCGTGTTTTTGAGTAAAATCTTTTAGTTACTTATCAAAAAAATGATGCATAACACAACTAACATTATATACATAATGTAACAAAAGATCCTACTTCTATTCAAACAGGAGTGGACAAGGTAACCCACAGTATTCTCTCTTCATAATTCATTTAACCTTCTTGATCTTCTTCTGTGGCTTGTTTGTTTTATAGAGATAAGAGAAAATAGTTTGTGGGTGTGAGAAAAATAGTTTAAGGGACTAATGGTAATAGTCATGGATTTTTAGTTAAGAGATCGTTGCTCCAATTAGGTTAAAGTTAGGGGACCATTGCTACAATTTTCTCTATGCTTTTATCTTTCATTGTTTTTCGCCTTCGAATTAGGTTGATGCTTTTATTCGTGGAGTAAAAAATCCCAGCTACTATTTTCAGATCCGATCAAAACTAATAATCCCAACTAGTTTTGTACTATGATCTCTTTCCCTCCCCCACAAGGGGTGTGCTATCCACTCACCTTTTTTACTTCTCACACATCTTCTTAGTTTTAGGTCGTCGGATCGAATGAATCAAAGAAGATTAAATAACATAATTAACAAGAGGTGTGTGAAAAGTAAAAGGATGTGCGTGGATATCACAACCTCTCCCAACAATCCCATTATATAATCACATGAGAATTGACATTTTCAAACCCTAACCCTCCTCTTGTTCTTCTGCTGCTGCTTGTTTGTTTTATAGAGATAAGAGAAAATAGTTTGTGGGTGTGAGAAAAATAGTTTAAGAGACTAATAGTCATGGATTTTTAATTAAGGGAACATTGTTCCAATTAGGTTAAAGTTGAGGGACAATTGCTATTTTCTCTATGTTGTTATCTTTCATGCAGTTTTCGTCTTCGAATTAGGTTAATGCTTTTATTCGTGGAGTAAAGAATCTCAGCTAATATTTTCAAACCGATCAAAACCAATAATCCCAACTACTATTGTACAATGATCTCTTTCCCTCCCCCACAAGGGGTGTGCTATCCACACACCATTTTTTTACTTATTATACACTTTCTCAGTTTTAGACCATCAAATCGAATGAATCAAAGAAAATCAAATGACATAATTAACAAGACGTGTGCGGATATCACCCCCCCCCCCAGAAAAAAAAAATCCATTATATAATCACATGAGAATTGACACTTTTCAAACCCTAACCCTCCTCTTGTTCTTCTGCTTGTTTGTTTTATAGAGATAAGAGAAAATAGTGTGTGGGTGTGAGTAAAATAGTTTAAGGAACTAATGGTCATGAATTTTTAGTTGAGGGATCATTGCTCCAATTAGGTTAAAATTGAGGGATCACTGCTACAAATTTCTCTATGCTTTTATCTTTCATGCGGTTTTCGTCTTCGAATTAGATTGATGCTTTTATTCGTGGAGTAAAGAATCTCAACTACTATTTTCAGATCCGATCAAAACTAATAACCCTAACTACTATCGTACTATGATCTCTTTCCCTCCCTCCCCCCCCCCCCACCACCATTATTTAGTTCACACACACCTTCAATTTTAGACCGTTGGATTGAATGAATCAAAGAAAATCAAATGACAGAATTAACAAGAGGTGTGTGAATATCACACCCGCCCACAATCCCATTATATAATCACATGAGATTGATCAAAAAAATAATAATCACATGAGAATTGACACTTTTCAAACCCTAACCCTCCTTTTGTTCTTCTTCTGCTGCTTGTTTGTCTTATAGAGACTAGCATTTGCCTACACACTTTGTGTGTATGAACATATTTTTTTAGAAAATAAGAAGGAAAGAGGGAGAGAGAACATGGGGAGTGGGAGGTTTTTGTTTTTGGTTTTCTTTTGGTTTTTTTTTTTTAATATTGGAAGTATTTTAACATCACCTATAGGTGAGACTTCAATAAAAATTGTAAAATTTGGACCAACGAAATTACATTTTTGCCTATCATTTTGTGTGATAGAAGACTAATTTGTCTTTTCACCTTCTTTTGATTGACAAAGAAGGTAGAGATAAGAGAAAATAGTTTGTGGGTGTGAGGATAATCTCTCCGAGAAAAACTCCTGCTTACTTTGTTTGTTTTATAGAGGGTAGCTGTGAGAAAAGTTTGTGAGAGAAAATAAAATACAAAGGAAGAAAAGGAACACCATACAATATATGCTCTGATTTAAGGTATGGAAAATTCCCAACTTGTTCAACTCATACTCACAATGTTGTTTGGAGCCAAAAAGGAAAATACTCACAGTGATGCTGTCCTATTCGGGAATACTAAGGGCCTGTTTGGTATCATATTTGAAAATTTTTATCATTTTTCAAAATATTTCTTAAGAATATTTCTTGAAAACAATTTTCTTTAAAACTCAAAAACTTGATTGGTTTGCGATTTAAAATTTTTGAATCTTACGACTTAAACTAAACAAAGAGATCTAAAAAGATGGGGTCGCATGAGAGGGAGAAAGAGGAGAGGGTAGGAAAGAAAGTAAGAGATGATTGAAGGAAAAACAAAGAAGAGAGAGGATCAGACGAGATAGAGAGGAAGAGGAGTGAGAGAAAAAACCGAGAGAATGAAGAGAGGGGATTGGAGGAGAGACAAAAAAGGTATAAAAAAAAAGAGGAGAGAGAGAAATTTGGAGTGAGAGGGAAGGAGGGAGAGAAGTAATAAGTGATGAGCTTAAGTTTTAAAACTCTAAAAACTCACTTTTTATGTTTTTAGATAATAAACTATATTTTTGAGTTAGTCTTAAGTTCAATTTTTGAAAATAGTGTTACCAAACAAGTTTTTAAGACATAAAATTTGAAAACTGTTTTTTAGTTTAAAAAATTGGATTCAAGTAGAGTACCAAACATGCGCTAAGATTTTACTATTGTTTTTCATTTAACAGATTGTTACTACCTCCGGAATGGAGTTCCCAACTGAATTGGATGACGACGTAGACCCCCCCCCCCCCGGCGAATTGCTTGTCACACAATTTTGGCTTTGGTGGTTTTAGGGAAAATGAAAAAGGTAAAACCTTTTATTTTGTATGGATTAATATGTTTATTTTCTCCGACTCCTATGTACAAAGACAACGCCTTTCTTTCTGCTTTCTAGCTCGAAACCCGTACACATTCACCTTCTTTTTTTCCAAGGTGTACTTTGACAAACTCCGACCAAGTTTTACTTTCCTTAATGATTTATATTAAGAGCTCAATGTTGGATGTTTTTTTTTTTAATTTTTGGAGTTTGATTGTTCATGTTTGGACCCAATGATATATTCTGTTCTATTGTAATGTACTTGCTAGGTAACCAAGTAATCCTGCAGCCAATGCCGCAACTCGATTGTGGTACTATGGACGGTGGAACGGAAGACAAAATTGAAGTGATTATGGCTCCGGCTCTAGAGGCCAACTAACTTGGCTCAAGATCATGTTGTGGCCACTACCAGTCGCGATTGTAATTGGCATATGGGCATATTACATGCATGACGAGGAGAGTATCGCAAAGGGATCCGACGGTTTCTTCAAATCTTTGTATCTCACTGTCCCGAATACTGGTGTTTTGATGTTGATACATTACTTTTTTTTTTTTTTTTTTTTGGCGCCTGGGGTTGGTTGTCTTCAATCTCAAACAACTCAAGGACGGGTTTAACCAGAGTTCTAGCTATATCCAGCTTGTTTCTGCAACGATTATGTTGCTTTTATTGCTGATAGGCTTAGGTATTTCATTATTATATGTATTGGAGGGTGAGAAGTTCTACAATTTAGATGTGTGGTACTTTAATATAATCACTATAATGAGAGTTGACAACGGGGATTTTTCTTTCACGTCCCCCGAAGCTCAAGTTTTCGCTTCCGTCTATGTATTTATAGCATCGCTACTTGTGGAAAACTCTGAAGGGGAATTAGACAATGTTGCTGATGAAATTCAGAATGCAATAGGATGACTACAAGGTTGGATTCAAGTCTTTAATAACACGCGTAGAACTTCGAGCCTCATTCACTCTCTTTAGGAATGAAATATCGCCAATTAATGACATCATCCATCCGTTTCAGATAGTTTACAACAATTTATTCTAATACGTTTTCCATTTGGGATTTAAATTTTTTTTTTCTTCTGACAAGCGTAATTGATTCAATGAAGGAGACAAGACCAGAGAACCAAGAAGGTGCAGTTGTCAACTGAATTCTCTAGAATAATATCATTGTTTTTATTTAGTGGCCAATTAGTTTTGTTTTCTAGCAAAAAAATTCATTAATTAGTTTTGTTTAGTGGCCAAGAATTCAACGGCTTAGAATTTCTAAATAAGAATCTATCGACTTTTAAGTCATTTTATTGGTGGGACTGAATTTTATTTACTTTTAACCTACAATATTGAACAAAAAGTTACAATAAATCTATCAGCTTCAGAGATTCTTCATGTATTTTTAACTACTAGCCTCTTTGGAAAATAAGCGATACTAATTTTTCTAACTGGTACGAACGAGAGGAAAGGTAACGTTTGAACAAACTATACGAATAAAAAATCATGAAAACAGGATCACATTCATTGAGATTGAACTTGTGAATTTGAGTAGAGAGTCATTGCGACCATCCATGGCTTTGATAAATACAGTAACTGAGCTCAACCCCTCTCTCCTACAAACACAACAAGGACAATATATGCACGCGTTATGAAACCTGCAAAGCTCTGACACGCGCAGTTAGCTCCCGAACTTGACTCCTAAGACGATCAGGATTACAAAAGAACTCAACAAAGACACCTCGTTGAAGCCCAATTTCCTTGGCATGATGTTTTACAATCTGCATGCCATACATATTTCCAATATTTATAACACGATTATGGTCCAGAAAGTAGTTAACTAAACCAATATATGCGCAAGAAAGCAGTTACCTCATTTTTCTTACGATGCTCCAGTGTCACCTATTCAACTGCAGCAGAGAGTTTTGCATTTATTTTCTCCATTTCATCAAGATCTTTCATCAATGGCTTTTAAACAAAGACAAAGATAAATGTACAGGAACAGATGCGAGAATGTACTAAATAATTACCGGAACAAGCTGCAATAACATTGTGTTCAAATGGCCCAATAGCGGATCAGAAAATGTAGAAGGAAAGTAACATGTCTAACATGAAACTATGATTTCAACGCTAGGATACATTAGGACAACTAAAGGTTTTTTTCGTTCTTTTAGTTGTTCGTATAACTATCATTTTAAAAGGAAACATAAAATGTTAACCACGGTGAGTTTATCGCTATATTATGAACAATACTTGTATTCGGTCTTTCAACCAAATTTAGATATCAAACTTATCGCACACGAAAAACATCAATTTCAAAGCAAGTTAAAACATAGAACTGACCAAGGTTGAAAAAATATCTCAACAAGACACGATTCTCCTAGTTCAGATCTTCTACTTTGTGACTTTTAGGTGCACACAATGCATAGAATACCATACAGGGGAAAAATGAATACCGGTAAAAATGGAAACAAACGAAGCAATAAGAAATGAAGGTTTAACAGTGATGTCATACCCGTGGGGTCAGTATAGGTTGTGCTGTTGTCGAAGAGGCAAATAGCAATTGCTGCAAACTTTGAATTAAAGTGCACCTGATACAATTAACAAGTTAGAAGTTTTCCCACAAAATGAAAAGGCGATGAGACACAAATTCATTGTAGATATTTTTATGCAGAAGAGATGACCAAATCAGCGTCCTTGAGAAGGCATCTTTATTCGTGTTAAAGATAGGGAAGACATGCTAGACCACTACCATAAAGTCTATCCAATGCCAGACAGGCCCATGATGCCAAATTACATCAAATTCTACCATCAACCATGCATATTTTACATTTTGTTGCTGATAGGTAAGTTTGCACCTCTGATTCAATAACTTTAAGCAAGGAGTATGCTCCGAGCATATTTTTCTTTTCCAACTGACAAGCCATTTTCAAGAACTGATGCCTTGCAAGCTGATTAAGAAGATGACTTATAAACTGCCAAGACAATTGAATAAGAAAATGTTAGACCAGAAGATCAGGAATCTTTGTGATATGAACTCATTGCCCTTTTGATTGATAATTAGACAATTAGTAGCTAACAATACCGCTTTCTGCCGGTTAATGTAATATTCTTGTCGCATGACCTTTAAGTCATAATCACCTACAAATTGATAATTCAGATCACATTAGCTACAAGCTTTTTGAGCCATGCAAGGCAAATAATCTGATGTTGCTTCATCCTACAGTTCTAGATTGGTTTAGTTACGTTGCAATATGTACGTGTCTTGGAGTTGAGCCAACTCCCAACAAGGACCCAGAATAGTCTGAGAAAGGAATACACAGTAAATCAAACAGTATAACTCAAACTAAATCAATGATATGAATTTGTTTTGAAGGCAGAAATAAGCATACAAAAAAATCTTGTAAGAGTCTCACAGTCTGCACCACCCCCAAGAAAAACAATTTAAAGAGAAAACCCCAGAAGATAAATGAAAGTATAAATACAAGCAAAATGATTAGCAGGTAGCATGTCCATGATCCTTTCCCCATGAGGGTCCTCTCTATGACTACAACTTGAACTAGAACCCAACTTTTTCTCGGGGAAGATTTTGGAAATTTGGATATAACAGGTAAACGTAGGAAACTTAAAACCCAAGAACACATTCAACCCTCAAATAATAATTTCTCTTCCTTGGGATAAGAATTAGATAGTTCTCCAACAAGTTCTGCATGGTTTCTCCTGTACACATATTAGATTCCCTTTCATCAAAAGATACTGTCAAATGTAGCAGATATGGAAAAATTGAAGTCTACCACTATACAAAGCATAATGAATTGACATGTAAAAATGCATTGTACCTACGGGAATGAAGATCAAGATGGATGTGAGCTTCATCTGATGATACTTGAGATTTAAGTGCCATTAGAATTGCTTGCTGCATAGCATTCTCAACTTGGGTTTCCACCCATTGTCTTTCACTTGTCCCAAAACTGCACAATATTTAGCAGTAACAGAGTCAGCAGGGATTCCAAATTTACAAACAACAAAAAATGCCAGCATGGAAGTTGACAAGAAAAAGGTTAACCAGCCACAGATATAGAAGTACCACATCTATTTGAGTACCAGAAATAGATAAATCATCTAAACAACAAACGTATGGTTGAATCATTAAAATACCACATCATTTCAAAGAATGTGTTTGTGTGATACACAAGCATGTGTGGAGAGAGAGAGAGATTGATGATGAAGAAGATATAACAGAATACAAACAAATAAAAAGGAAATTTTCTGTACCTCTCAAGTGTCAGAGAAGTAAAATAATTAATATACCCTCTCACTTTGATTACACAAAAGGAATACACCCTCTAATTTCCATCATACCATAAATCAAAATATCAACATTTTTGGACCTTCTTTGGGGACTTTCATAAAGGCTATCAACCTTTTGTAACTTCTTTGTAGATTCTTAAAAGAAATCAAACGATTGAAGTAAATAATAACAGCAATTGTTCTGGTTTCTTAAAGAGGATGTCGTGATCTGAAATCTGAAAAAATAAGTAGGCATCATATCATTTTATACAAGTTAAAACTTCGTAAATAGGGGGAAAAGTTACATACATAGAACAAAGTCGTTGCAACTCAGAGACACGCTGATGATGAGATTTTTCTAAATCTGCTGCAATCAAAAGACCAAGTAAAAGGAGTCAATATTTGCTACTCTATATAAGTTAAAACAGCTTAAGATATCCAAATACCTAGGCAACTCTAGATTATGGATATTCGTTTATGCAAATAATCAACATTTGCATCAAAGTGATCATGACATGAATGCACATGGATGGCACATACTTTCTGGATTGAGAAAAGCAAAACTACAATGGTACAAATGAAAACATATCCCTATTTTTCATTTTTCAGTGACATTTGGGCAGAAAAACAAGAAGAAAATTATTTGTGGCAGGCATAGTATGCTTCTGTACATGACTAAAGCTGTGCATATTTAAAAAGATCCATTTGATTCAATTTACGAATTAGCCGGAATTAATATTTTCAAAACGAAAATAGCATCTGGTATTAGCTGAGGCATCAAATTATATATATATATATTTTCAAAGTTACAAGCATCCAGCATGCACATGTAATCTCGACTCTATTACATCAACAAAGTGGATAAGCAACATATTGGAAAAGCAAAAACAATCTGGAGATATTAATCTTGAAAACTTAACGGGGAGAGAGAGGAAAATACAAGAGTGAAAAATAAGCAATAAAAGCCATAGGACGGGTTACCTCTTACTATGACGTTTGAGATATCTTCAAGACTCACCCATGAACACTTCGATTTGCCCTCTTCAACAACTAAACGAAAAGGACCCTGTTCATATCACTTAGTAAGGCCTTCATTTTCCTTTTAATAACCTAGTAAATTCTTAAAAGGTGCAACTCTAGTACATGAAGTATACAATAGAGAAACTGGCAAGAAGCAAAAAAGATACAATGGAATAGATAGGTCCACAAGAAATTTACAAGAGATGAGAGGAAAAACATGATTTCAAGAACTTATCCAGAAGATTTTCAATACTAACAAGATAGAATTTTCTGAGATGAACTTGTGAAATATGAATACTAGAAATCCGAATTTTGCTAAATTTTCTTTTGATAAATAGCAATCTTGAAATTATTCCCAAAAAAATACACAATTGGAACAGAGTATTACAATTTAATTTCAATGCAGAGGATCTAGAAATAAAGCTGGCAGCCTGCCACGAAGTTTTGATGGATAAGTTGCAGCAATACTGGCTAAATTTCCGTCCTAAGTGAAAGCAACACTGATGCACGACCAATTAAATTAGCAATATTAAAACTGGAAAGAAAAGGATGATCGTTCATACACAATCAGTAAATAAATAAGATTAACAATGCTGAGAGGGTTTTTTTTTTTTTTTTTTTTTTTTTGGGGGGGGGGGGGGTGTGCTATTATATACATACTGTGTCTAACTGCTTGGCTCCTTGATAAAAGATGAATCTCCAATTAAGTATGCATGAAAGTCTGAGTAGATGCCATCCCCTGCAAGTTTAGTGCTAAAAATTCATAAATATGAAAAGCAGAAATAGTGAGCTTGATTGTTGAATTCGCAAGCAGAAAAGTGATATCGCATTCCTCCATCAGTTGTGCATAAATCACATAATAATTCTCATATTAAAATGCAGAACATATACTGGCCGTTAAATAACAAAGATAGTTGTAAAATGTCCAAATAGTCAACAAAAGTACTGAAAGGTAAAAGAGTATAATACCATCCCCAGAATGATAATGGGCCAACTCTTGTGCTGTAGAAGCCATCCTTCCAAGAACTGCATTCATCTAGATTACAAAGAAAAAAATTACGAATCTTATGAAATTTTAGGTAGAAATAAACTTCTAAAGCTACTTTTCTCATCAAAAAATCGATCAAAAACCCTATACACATAGTTGTTTGTACAAAGGCAGGTTGAACTGCGAGTTTTTGTTTGCAGACAAGTCACTGAGTATCCAAATGCTCATTCACATGGTTGCAGACAACATAGTATACATATTATATGGAAAACCAAACCCAATCAAACATATTACTAATACAAAAAACCTAAATGGATCAAACTTATCTATTATCATTGTCCTCAATTTGCTCCACCACCAATGTCTGAGAAATTGATTTTCAACTTAGTCAAGAAAATGACTAAATCCATTTCAAAATTGATCACCAATGCACAGAATATATCTCAGTGATTGTAGCTATTCTAGTAAGGGAGCCTTCTTTTTACCAATATACCTGCAAATTTCTTGCAGAGAGGCTATTGTCTATAGTTGTAAGATGTCCATTGACAGTAGATGTTGCAGCAACTCATGCCCGTCTCCCTTGGATCAGAGTAGAAGCCTGATCAGTAAGCATGTCGAATTGGGAATGCAGATGCCTAAGCTGTCTCTGCAACTGTAAAGCTTCAGCTTTATAGGCCAAAGTTGCATCCCTAAGGAAGAAAAGAAGTCCATAAGTACTGGGAACAGGATTCCACAATGCATCACCAAGTAGGTAGAATATGCAATTACCAAGCATAGCTTTTCGTTATCCAAACTACTAAGAATTTATAGGCACACTAGTCCGCCACCTATTTCTGTAAATTATCCTTTCATTACCATCCTCCCTTCTCGCCATGATTTACCGCAAGAAAAATGAAACAAACAAATCAAATAAGCAATACACCCACACCAAGAAAATTCCTATGCTGCCAAAATCTCTTCTCGATCCTCAGGTACAGGCCAGAACACAAAAATATGGATGAACTAATGCATCACTAGAGGAAAAATAACTAAAAGAGTATAAAAAATGTAAAAAGTATGGTACCGGATATCTTTGAGTCCCTCCTCGGCTGCAAAAACCGCCTCCTGGTTGTCTGGCCTGGAAGCAAAGGCCGAACTGCTATCGTAAGCAAAGTACAAATCCTCTCCCTGCACAATCAACATTTATATCAAATTATCAATACATAAACAGTTTGAAGTTCGAACAGAGCATATAAAACTCAACAATTATGACTGCAAACAACAAAAACGAGAATTTTACCTCTAATAGCTTCCCCTCCTGTACAAATTGCTCATATCTACACACAAAAAAAAAACAATAATTTCAGAATTATATACAAATTTTCAAAATTCAACCGAAAATGAATTATGGGGGAGAGAGAGAGAGAGAGAGAGTAACTGGGAGAGTACGGGGAGAGAAAGGACGTTGGAGGGGCGGAGGCTCGAGCAGATCCAGTCGAGGATGGGTCGAGCGTCGTCGTATTGGAAGGGCCATTCGAAGCTGTCAGGGTCCAATGCACAGCGTCGCCCCGCTCATTCCCCGGTCTTTTTTTTGTCTCCCTTCTCTTACTCAGTCGTGAACGGCGGTGCCTCGGGATCAGATGTTGCGATTTTTCTGCTTTCAATTTCAAATATTTGCCAGCGACAGAGTGAGTGTGAATTTTTGGGCCGTTTTGGCGCCGGCCTTGACAAATTGACGTCGTCTATTTTTTTTCATGCTTCGGTTAGTTGTACGTTGAGGACATTCTTGCCCTTTTCTCTTCGGATAGAGGATATTTTTGCCGAGTTCGGGGCCTTCTGGCATCCTATCGTTTTCAATTGAACTCGAAAGTTTAAACGGCCGGCTAGCTAAAAACAACTTCTTTTTTTTTTCTTTTTTTTTTTTTTTTTTTTAAATATAGGAGGTATTCAAGTCTTGATACCACACGATTCAACAAAACATTTGGCTTCTATTTAAATGGTACGGTGATCGTAAAAAGTTCGAACTCACATTAGACCAATTTTTAGTGTTAAAACCTTACTAAATAAAGTTAAAATGATACATAAATAGGTTTTCACGAATCTTGTTTAAAATAAACATTAATATATCAAGTTGGTTAAGTTTTCATACATGTCGTCGTTATTTTTCTGTCAAAATTAATCACAATGCTACTCCAATATAATCAAATGTACATTTAAAGTTTTGAGATCGTTCCGAATCATTTAGATGCAAAGATAAGAGCACACTATTATAGGTACATTAGGAGTTTGTCGTCAAGTTATGATTTTGCTCATGTAGTTTTTGGTTCAAGTGATACTGAGAAAAAAGATAAGAAGATTCAAACACGAGACTTCAATTACAAAATTTAGTTAAACCCAATATGGGGCCAAATTGCATTTTTGTTCCTTGTAGTTTAAGGGTAGGAGTAATGTCAACCGATTGAGCTATCCCTTCTATTTTATTCTTGTAGTTTGAGTAGATTTGCACTTTAATCCATTTAGTTTGATTTGTCGCCAATTATTCAAGAATAACAAATAGTAATTAGTAACAACACAAACTGCATAAATCATAATTTGGCTAATACGTATACAATATGCAATTCTGATGGGATTAAAATATCAAAACTCCTATGCATTTTCAAAGAGCAATATCAATCGATTCAAACCTGCCAACCGCTACAAGAACAAGCTGCCTGTTGTGGGTAGTAGTACAGATACCAGAAGTCATCACAGTGACAGTCGAGGAAGAGATGAAAAGGAAATGCTGCGCCTTTCCAAGCCTCTTGTCGTGTACATACATAAGTGCATAGACCATTAGAAGTTCTTCTTCACTCTCTTTCAGAATCCGAGAAGTATCTCTGGGCATCAAATGGCTGTCTCCGGGAGTTCATATCATGTAAGTCAGGCTGCCTCGGGGAATTCATATCATGGAAGTTAGAAGGAGCTTCTCCAGACATGGGTGCAAATGCTGCAGCTCGAATACATAAAACTAATGAGAAATACACACTTGAGACAATTTTTCTACTGACAATAATATATCAGGAACAGAAAATTGTGCATACGAAACAAAATAACTTAACTAGCGCATATGCGGATGACAATTTCAAAAACGACCATCCTAATAAACAGTTTGGAAATGATGATATTCTTAATGTTTTTTTTTTTTTGAATTCTTAGATGTTTTTGCCCCGTAGTGCAAGTTTGTTCGTCTGAGGATCTTTTTCAATTTGCAAGAAATAGATATTTCGGAATCACTTGGGGCTTTGTAATATGAGGTCAGCTCTCTAGCGGCAACAATAACAGGATGAATCAAAGTCAATATATGGGAACTGTAGCGCACTTAATCATTAGTCCACAGAATTTTGGAAGTCCTATAGCCTATAAAATCTAGGAATTTACAAAAGACATACAACCTTGGACTACCCAACGAATGAACACCAAATAATCAAACCACTGCTCAATGTACAATCAAAGATATTGGTGGAAGAACATTCTTCACCTAATGGTGTACGAGGGGCCATTATTCCAGAAACCAAATCACAAAAGCAGAAGTTCACAACATAAAACTGTTAGATTGTGAGTATGAAGCATGTTTGAGGATTAGCTATAATATTGGATGAATTCTTGAATGGAAAAGTCTTGATAAGGTGTTCGTATGAATCCTATTTCTTGTAGGATTATGAGTGCTTTTAGTGTTCCTTTGTGAAAAGGTTTTGGATCCTACACTAATTGATCTTGTACACTCATTGTGTGAGAGTTCAACACTAATTCTAATAGGAGAATGAGTTGGATTAATGTTGTATATAACCTCAATCACTGCTCTTGCAAAGACACGGCTCATCTTGTATTGAATACCTATTATTCAGAGAGTTCTCTAGTTTTGCTAAAGAGGAGAAGATTGATTGGTTGTGAAGCTGCTATGGCTTCTTCGAGTTCAAGTTCTGCAGGTATGTTTTCAACTGGTTTTATATTTGAGTTTATAGTTCTGTCATTCTGTTTGATTGTTGAAGTGTTGGTGATTTATTGGCATATCAATGATCTGTGATATAGTTCTTACAAAAACTTCTCAAAATACATTCAACTAACCTTTCTCTCTCATTCTCCTTTCTCTGTCATACTCAAATTTATCCCGAATCTGGTTGACCTTTTCCCAGGTATCCCCTTGCCTACTTCCAAAACCATTGTCCTGCAACAAAATAAAGCCCGTTCAATGTATAGCGGGATACTATGAATAAAGAGGTATCACATCTTACAATATAAAAACATTCAGGTGGCAAATCAAAGCTTGATGACAAAATCCCATTTACTTCGGTTACAAAAGCTCGATGACAGTATCTGATTTACTTCGGTTATAAAACCATTGGAGAGAGCGAGAAATAATTGCATTCACAATAATACAAAGGACCGGCTTTGAAGATTAAACAACTATTAGGCGTGGACGTCTACTCATGACTATATATATCTGCAAGGCTACAACATAATCCACCAAGTCCAATTAATTGCATCAAATTCGTACCTTATATGGCTCAGGATGGAACCGCTTGTTCCAGAAGTTCACAACAAAAGGCACTCAACACACGTAAATGATAACTTCAGGTTTTGGGAAATTGAGCAAGAATTAAAATTATAGGTCAATTTTACAATGTTAGTCCAAATAGTTTATTAACATTCTCAATTTTGTTCTTGTAAAATTTTTTTCTTGCATTTTCTTCTTTGTTTTTCTTTTTATTCTCACTTTTAGTTCAGTCCATTGGAGTTGATTTTTCCATCTAATTTTATTTTAGATTAGTTTTTCTTTTGAAAAATTCAACTTGGAAGAACTTTCGGCTTATATAACAGGCAGACAGTGCTAACATAATGAATTGCAAAGAAAAACAAAGGCAATAGAAACGCGAAAGTGAAAATCGAGATAAACGACGGGGACTACCATTAGCATAAATTAATCGATATTATATGATGGAGAGATTTTAGATGTGGTGTTGTTTTGTATGGATATCGATAGATTAGATAGGCGTGATATCCTCTCATTATGGTTGCCTTATAACCCTCCACTTTCTTTTTGTTTACTAAAGTAGGATGCATGTGGGGGTAGGGAACTAAAGGGGATTAAGGTGTTCAAATTCTAAAAAGCATCCATCCCTTGTATGCAAATGTGTGACTATAAAAAGGGTCATTTTGGTTCTGGTCCCTAATGAACTTAATTATTAGACTGAAACCTTATTTGTTTAAATATTTTGATCGAGGTCCTTAACATTATTTAAGAGATTTAACTCATGCATTATGTATTTAATGTCCCACAAATTATGAAATTTAAAAAAATTCAAATAATATTTTTAAAATATAATGAATACTTGAAAATAAATATTAGAATAATATTGTTCTTCACAAAATTATAGCAAAGAAAATAATGTACCCACATAATTATTAATATATTTTAAATCATAAAATAAATACATTTAATTAGCATGGGTACATTTAGTAAAATTAAAAATGGGTACAAATAAATTAAAAAATATGGGTACAAATACAAATAAAACCTAAAAAATATGGGCACAAAAAGAAATTAATATATGGGTACAAATTAAAAGTGAAAAGAAAATTGGTATTAATAAAAAAAAGGTTGCAAATTAAAAATGGGTACAAAATAAAAATAAAAATATATGATAAAAAATTTAGTCATAAATATAAATATACCAATTGTTATTACCAAATGTAACATTTCTAACACTAAATGAATATATTTAGAGATACAAATATTTTATTATTGAAATAATTAATGAAGTTTATTAATACCTAGGGACCTTGATAAAAAATTGAAAATAAATAAGATTTTAATCAAAGGAGTAGTAAAAAGAGAAATGGGAACCAAATTTATATTTATAATTATTAGGCCCTGTTTGTTAATTTGGAGAAATTTTTTATTGTGAGGGGAACACGAGTGGTACACCACGTGTTTTTATGTAAATGATGAGAAATTTTATTTTTAAATTTATTAACTTTTTTATTAACTTTAATGTATGGGTACATTAACCAAAATTAACAAAAAAAGTTATTGTACCAAAACATGGATACATTTTCAAATCAACAAAAAAGAATGTACCCATATAAGTTTAAACATGGATTAAAAAATTTGAATGGATTTTATATTAAAAAAGGGTACATTTTACATATAACAAATTGATATATTTGAGAATGGGTGCATTTAAGATTAAAAAAATTGAAAAATTATATGAATGGGTACATTTAAGATTAAAAAATTGAGAATCTTTTTATATATAAAAAAAACTAATAGTTACAAACTTAATTTAATTTAATTTTTTATTATTTTGGAAATGTTTGAATTGAGAATTAATTAGAAGTTTAAAAATTGAGAATCTTTTTATATATAAAAAAACTAATAGGTACAAACTTAATTTAATTTAATTTTTTATTATTTTGGAAATGTTTGAATTGAAAAATAATTAGAAGTTTAATAGAGGTGTGAGTATTAAACCCTAAATTAATTACTAATTTTATATTAAAAAATTATATAATAAACATGTAAATTCATTATCACATTAATACTAGGGACTTGAATCAAAATTTGAAAACTAATAAGGTCTTAGTCAATGAACAGTAAAAACTAGGGACCGGATACTAATTTTTCCCTATAAAAATATACAGATAAAATCATAAAAATTTGGCAACACAGGTTTCGTTTCCCTTTCATAAAAAGCTAAATTTTTTGTTCTGTTAAATTTGACCACCCTTGAACTAATTAGAAAATAGGATTATTTGGTCGAACCTGTAGTAAACTAACCACTTGGTATAAATTTTGCACTACATTCTGGAAAAATTAATCTTTTTTAACAACTTTTTCATTTGGACTTTCTTATTTTACTCTTCTCTTATCTTGTAATGTTGCACAATATCCAAACGACCTATTTTTAGGTTACTCTTAATGATCATCTTTATTAAAAAATAATTAAATTGAAAATTATTTAGTCATCTAACGATTATTTATAGAATAGACAAACCATGTTCTTCATTTAACTAAAATATCAACAATGTGAACTGGCGGTCAAATAATTTCTAATTTTTTTTATTTTGTAGAGTTGAAGTTTACTGAGCGATCTAAAAATTATATAGTTTTGATCTCCAAGAATGAATAAGAAGAAAGCAGAAAGGGTAAACGAGAAAATTCAAGTAAAAAGTAATGAGAATCGAGTGGAAAGGTTATTAGAATTCCATCTTTCTTTAATACGTTAAAGACCTTGTAACCTATTTAGTCACTTGTATTCGGATTTTGTCTAATTTCTGAAACCAATAGTAATTGTGTAGGGAGAAAAAAAAATTATATATATACGTATATTATATATGTATGTGTGTGTATAAATATATGTGTCTCTGTCTATATATATAGGCCCTTTTATGCAAAGGGATTTCTATTTTTTTTTTCAAAAAATGGGGATTAGGTGTGGAGCTCACTCCACATCGAACTTCAACGATCCGAACTGTCTATTTTGTAAGTCTCGATTCATAGATCATCCTTGCAAAAATTCAATTTAATCCGAAATCATTTGCCTATTCAATTATCAAAATAAAATTTCATTATTTCTTATATAATAAAATATTTGTTTAGATGTCTTAAACATTTCCGATTTGACCGATATTTTGCAAAGATGATCTATGAGGTGTAACTTGAAAAAAGATGGTTCATATCGTTAAAGTTCGATGTAGTGTGAATCCCACAACTAATCTTTATTTTTATAAAAAAAATGGGGATCCCTTCCCTTAAAGATTGCCTATATCTATATATAAATAAACTGAGTGTTTTCATCCTCCAACCAAACCAGTGATGACTCTGCCATTTGATTTCATAAAATGAAAGTATCTATATTTGCGTGCAGAAAACTAAGCATCGTGCACGGCTTGGTCTTTCCAGGCAAGGAATAGTGTTATTTTCCATATAGAAACCGTTTTCTTCCTTGTTTGCATATCACCTTTTCATGAAGGTTCGCATCTTCATGAGGTTTGCAGAAAATATAACTAATTTTCTCGGACAAAACGTTAATTCTTTACCAAAAAATAAAAATAAAAAAAATATCACATCTCATATTCACAAGAATTGTAAACTTTCCAACCAATGTAAGTAGAGGCAAGTGGTTCTTTACCACAATGATGAAATGAAGTTGAACCTTTTTTTCATGACAGTGTGAATTTAAACTACGTCGGTAGTTAATCTAACACAAAAAACCAATGTAAGTAGAGAAAACATCATATTACAAAAATGGCTGCACCGAATAACTTTTCTTGGTGAAAACTCGTGAGGAAATAACCTTTTGTCAACTAGTACAAGATTATAAACACATCATTGTCACTTATATACAAGACAAAAGAACTGCTATGCATGCTTCGATATCTCTTAATTTGAATCCAATCAAATCTTAATTAAATTCACAAACAATATATGAATTTATGACTTACTTCGTGTATGCTACATTAAGCATATGTAAAAACACATATATTGTTGGCATGTTCTTCGAAACAATACATGTATGAATACAAAACATGTTGTCTACAACCTGATCATGCACTTATTAAATTAACAATCAAGACGAATATGGAAAACCCAAGTATGCAATCATGCAAAACAAGAAGTGTTGCAACCCGTCTATAAGTTACTATATTTTATTTTCTGAAAATTGTGAAATGTCCAAAATACTTTTAGAGAAGAAAGTGTTGACTTTTGTTGACAATTAAACTCGTGACACGTATGTCCTAGCACATGTTCGTGGTACTCATTGATATGAGCGCACGAGAGCAAGTGGAGAGGAAATTAGAGCTAAAATGAAGATTTTACGAAACACAAATGTTAAGGGTAGTCTTATAATTCTAAATTTAAAGAGTAAAACTAATAATAATATAAAATGTTAACTAAAGTAAAGCAAAGGGATCTGGAAGTGGGAGGAAGAGAGAAGAAAAAAAGGGGGAGATGGCGTTGGCCAAAGGATGGGGGGGGATTACAAGGAATCCCACGGCCTGAAACTATGAATCGGAAAGGGGGGGGGGTGGAGAGCGGAAAAAAGAAAGGGGGGACAAGATAGAAACTATGAATCTTTGAGAGAAGTCGAAGGAAATATAGAAGACACCAGGAGGAGCAAAGAGAAAATAAGGAATTAAAATGTTTGCTAGAACTGAGAGAAAAGGTGTACAACCATGTCGTTTGAACCATAACAGAAATGTGATTGCTTTTGTCGACCGCAGCATAGGTAACGATTCCCATCTCTCTTTATTCCTTCAATAGCTGCTTTGTATCAATCTTTCGTATTATTTTCAATTTTATACTTTGGGTGTTGTAATCAAATATCTTGTTCTAGGGTTTGGATTAAAAGGTCAAGTCTTGTTAATTGTTGAATATAATTGAAATCGAAGTTATAAACATGAATTCTGAAATGTGTGGAAGCATTCTGAAAATGTAATTTGGATTATAAGAGTATAGGTTCTAAATTGCAGGAAATTTATTAATTCTTCACAGAAAAACTATGTTTCAAGTAGCCTATTTTGGCTCTTGATTTCTATGTCTTTATTGATTCCTTTTGAGCCAATATTATGTGGTTTAAAACTAGACATGCCCATGATCAATACCCATCTGATATCACTTAATTCCATTGAGTATTGATATGTCAAAATCATATTCAAACTTGAGTCCCGAAGCTGCCAGACAGCAGCAAATACTGGGTTTCCAGTTTCGGGACTCTATTTTGTAAATTGCAGAACTTTCAACTTAGAACCCCATTTTCTACAAATCTTTTATGCTTTTGAAGTACACAAAACAAGCTTCGAAACCCATGTAAGTTTGCATCAACCGGTATAGGTATGAGTGTTCAAAATCAGGTTAATCTTGGTTGACTTAAACTGCTTTTCTGCAGCTTTTGTGGAGAAGAGGTTGCTGCTTTGCAATGTTCTTTCTTCTCTAAATTTTAATTCTAATTTACTTATCGATATTGAGTTTATTAAATCACTTTATATGGTTATGTATTGGGTTTCAAAGAACCATTTTCTAATACAATTATAAGCTCAATGATTTAATGTATTGGTGCACTTATGCCTATTGAAACACAGAATCACTTATAGTCCAGAATTATTTCCATTCAAACGTATTGGTAGTGATGAAGCTATATTAGGTCAACCAAAATGGCATTTGAATTGGGGACTGTTAAATTAGTATTCCAAGTACTTTGACTAGGATTAAAGTTCATCTCATGCATTTAGTAATGTCTTATATTGTGAAAATGGATTTGGCCATGTTGGTGGATCCTTGTATTAGTAACTGAGAGCAATGCTTAGGAATCCATGTAGAGGAAATACAACAGACATTTTCAGAGTTTGATTATACTAAACTTCGTGGAATGTTATCTTATTATGTATCTCATAGGTTGATTACTTGTGTACATAATTGGATTACATGTATGGTAATCGAATTAATGCTTTTGTTGGATGTCTATTAGTGTGATTATGGCTTGCTTTGATATGAGATGGAATTCTTAGCAGACTTTGTAATAACGTGAGATATGTTAGGGAACTACGAATGGCTAGATACCGTCTTAGGGTACGTAGGCAATCTAACACAGAGGTTAGATGCAACCATATGTAAAAGAAAAATTACTACTATTGACACAATGATTCGGGTGAAAGGGTATGTGATGACGTCACGTGTGGATCCTAGACCTATCTTGGGATCGGGGCGTGACAAGAAGTAATTATGAATTACCACTTATGTAATGCCAATTCAGAACTGATGACAAAATTAAAGCAACCAAATCTAAACTTATCTTAAGGTTGTTGGGAAAATAGGGTCTAATTGCTATATTAAATCACATAAAAATTAAGAAATAATTTATGCAATTATATATCAAAGTAATTAATGCATGCACATGATTAATCAATGTTAAACGAACATGATATAATGGATTAGAAAAACCTAGAAATACAGTCGAGGCAAGTGATGGACACTCTGTCTTTAAGATAAGTTTATGCCTTACTACGGTGTTCATGGTTGGTTGACGCTTGTCACTCGGGATACAACGACCACGCCCTTGTAATAGTAGCACTCCAAATCATAAGGCGCCAATGAATCATGATTCTCATATAGACTCAATGGTACTATCTAATTTTTAGTGCACTATATGTATGAATATGAATATTGATTTTATGATTATAGGATGCTTCCCTATTTATAGATTTGAGATATTTTTTTTGAAAAATATGTGACCATTCATCAAGAGTCAAAAGTTACTATTCATTATGTTAAACGTGTATTTCCACCAAAATACATAACTTCTAATTTCCATTTAATTATTTAATTTAATATAATAATATTAAAAGTTCCAACAATGCTATTAGAAATGGGGCGCCTACACTTAAGCCCATTTTTAACTGAAATGGCTAAATATAGTCCTGTTCAAAATTATAACCCTGTAAAATTTTTTTTTTTTAAATAAACAGTATCAGACTATACTCATATACCATCTTCAACCAACCGAATGCGCTAAGCATAGCCCCTTAATAATTTATTAGTTTTATATTTATACTTTAAATTTATGGTTAATTAAACTACTTTCGGATGTTTTCGAACCTAACCGTTGAGTTTCAATCAATTATTGCAATTGGAAGAGTAGGATCTCAAAAAAGGTTAAGAAGAAGACCACATTTGGCTAGCTTGATGCCCCTTTGGAGATGAATTTTTGAGCAAATTAGGCTATTTTCTAGTTTTTAATCGTTAGCCTTTGGGATGACCTAACATTATCTTTCCCTCGGCCTGTATTGTTCATCTCTTCTCCCACTGCCATTGATTGATCCACATAGCTCATCGTCATGAAGTCATCGGTGTTTGTTCTCAATATTTATTCAATAATGAGCATAGATTATAACCGACAGCCCATCCTAGTCGTGAGCAGTGTAGCTACTCTTATTGTGGTCTTCATCCTCGTCTGATATAGGGCTTCCTCGCCTTTTCCGGAACCATTGGAAGTAAGTGTCGAGTCAGTTACTGTTTCCCGACTCAGCGCGGCCGGGCCCGAGTGTACCGTTAAATAGGAGCTAAAGCTCGTAGTCACAAACCCCAACAGCAATCACGACTTCGATCTCTACATTGGAGATCATCTGCAGGTCACACTCTTCTTGTACAATCGCTGGCTTATCGGCAGTTTTATGGTGACTACCAAGTCATTACATCCTCCCTTGCTTTTAACCAGCGAGACCAACTAGACGACCACCTTAAGTTTCAAAATGCAAACTGATCGTGCCTACTTTGGTGAAAAGTTCATCGAGGAAATCTTCAGAAGGATAATCCAAGTCCACCTGAATGTGATGGCTTGATATCGGCTCATGCCCACCACTTCGAAGCCTGAGGGATTCCATGTGTTATGGCTCTCCTGCCTTGGCATGGGGCTGTGCGAGTTCGATTCTACCCGTAGCAAGGAAATCGTTTGACTCTTTATTAATTGTGTTGGTAAATGTAGTTGCTTGCAATAGACAGATTGATGTTATGTAATTGGAGATAAATTGATTCTACTTAATTCCAAATTAATCCAGTGATGTCTTTACTTATCGGATTTGTTTGCGCATTACATACATTGCTGTTGGGAAATTCAGGGTTTGGGCTTGTTAAACTGACTACATAATTTAATGATTTTATCTCATTAAACTGATTACGTAATCAATTTAATGAGATAAAAACATTAAATTAGGTAATCAATTTAATGAGCCCGAACCTTGCATTTCCCAACAACAATGTATGTAATGCGCAATCAAATCTGATAAGAAAAGACATCATTGGATTAATTTGGAATTAAGTAGAATCAATTTATCTCCAATTACATAACACCAGTCTGTCTACTGCAAGCAACTACATTTACCAACACATTTAATAAAGAGTTAAACGATTTCCATGCTACGGGTAGAATCGAACTCGCATAGCCCCATGTTGGGGCAGGAGAGTCGCAACACACGGAATCCCTCAAGCTTCAAAGTCATGGGCATGAGCCGAAACCGAGCCATCACATTCAGGTAGACTTGGATTATCCTTCTGGAGATTTCCTCAATGAGCTCTTCACTTAAGTAGGCACAATCAGTTTGCATTTTGAAACTTAAGGTGGCCGTTTGGTTGGTCTTGTTGGTTAAAAGCATGGGAGGATGTAATGACTTGGTAGTCACTATAAAGCTGCCGCCAAGCCAACGATCGTACAAGAAGAGCGTGGCCTGCAGACGATCTCCAATGTAGAGATTGAAGCCGTGCTTGCTGTTGGGGTTTGTGACTACGAGCTTTAGCTCCAATTTGACGGTACACTCGGGCCCGGCCGCGCTAAGTCGGGAAACGGTAACTAATTCGACACTTACTTCCAATGGTTTTGAAAAAGGAGAGTAAGCCCTATATCAGACGAGGATGAAGACCACAATAAGAGCAGCTACACTGCTCACGACTAGGACGGGCTGCTAGCTATAATATGTCCTCATTGTTGAATAAATATTGAGAATGAACACCGATGGCTTCATGATGATGAGTTATGTGGACCAATGGTTATAATTTGTCCTTTTTGAAATATGATGTTTTCTTTACTTACATTGGTTTTTTTGTATTAGATTAGTCACCGACGAAGTTTGAACCGCGCCTTTATACAAAGGCTCAACTCATTTTCACTACTGTGGTAAAATGCTACTTGCCTCTACTTACATTGGTTGAAAAGTTTATAATTCTTGTGAATGCATATGAGATGTGATTTGTACAACCCTATGCAAAAAATAACGTTTTGTCTGAGAAAATTAGTTATATTTTGTACAAACCTCATGAAGAGTTGCGACCCTTCATGTAAAGGTGATATCCAAACAAAGAAGAAAACGGTTTCTATATGGAAAGTAACATTCCTTGCCTAGAAGACCAAGCCGTGCACAATGCTTAGTTTTCTGCATGCATATTGATACTTTCAATTCATGGAAGCAAATGGCAGAGTCATCACGGGTTTGGTTGGAGGATAGAAACACTCGGTTTGTTTAGCATCTATTGGTGAAAGATGGCTTGATAATATATATATGTGTGTATTTCAGAAATTACAATGTGTGGTTTTCCTATTTCTAAGTATGATGAAATAGTATATAATGGCATTAAAAAAAAAAATTTGCTTCTGAAAAGAGATAAAGATTATCTTTTACAATGGTAATTTTAAGATATTGAAAGGTTAGAAATCTTCTGGCAAATACCTTAAAGGTGGGGGAGTTTACCAAAGTGTTAGTAAACTACTTAGTAATTAGGTTTGGATATATATGTTTGGAGGACTTAAACGTAAGAAAACAACTACTCGCAAACAAAATCAATTTTCATGCATGGATGAAATTTGTGATGGTCATAAATTAAATAGATAGTCAACCTAGTGGATCCAATTATTAAGGTTTGACTAGAGAGTAAGTTGTATCATCGAGGGGAATGCGTTAAAAGCCCGTATTTAGAGTAGTCATAGTAGAAACCCAACCTAGTTGACTGGAGATCCCAAGATCTAGGTTTTAAAAGGACAACTAAATTATGACAACTCGGAGTAGCATTGCGGAGATATATTCTCTTTTTGCCCATGCAAGACGAGTTGGAGTATCGCTCGGAAAACCTCTAGAAACTTGCTCAAGTGGCTAAATAGATTACAAGGTCTTTAATGTGTTAAGGAGGGATGGAATTCTAATAACCTTTCCACTCGATTCTCTTAACTTTTTACTTGAATTTTCTCGTTTACCCTTTCAACTTTCTTCTTACTCATGCTTAATAATCAAAACTATGTAATATTTAGATCACTATGTAAACTTCAACTCTGCAAAGTTAACAAAATTAGAAATTATTTAAGCATCAATTCACATTGTCGATATTTTAATTAGTTAAGTGAAGAACATGATTTGTCTATTTTATAAATAACCGTTAGATGACTACGTAATTTTCAATTTAGTTATTTTTTTATTTATAAATTGATGATCATTAAGAGTAACTTAAAAATAGATAGTTTGGATATTGTGCAATGTTACAAGATAAAAGAAGAGTAAAAAGAGTAAGCTAATTAGTTTTGACATATTAGCTAACCAAATTATATATACATTGAATAAACAAATTTAGAGATTGAGGCTTATCTATTAGAAGTTGTGAAAACATAGGTGGTGGACACGGTTAGAACTAAGCTAATTAGTTTTGACATATTAGCTAACCAAATTATATTTCTAGCTAGTTGCTCCCTATACAATCATCAGATAGGTAATACCAACCGAATTGGTGTGCAACTGTTAAACGTTGCAAAAAGAAAATATAGAGATTTGCCAATCTCTGTCAAACACGGAGGCATGTATTAATGTTGTAATGGTATCACACAGTACTAGGGTTTGCAGGTTGTAAAACACGGTGGTGCATTTGGTGAGTTCTTCTGTTATCCTGGTTGTCTTAGGAGTCAAGTTGCGGGAGCTAAGTCGGAGCTTTGCAGGTTTTGGAACTCTTGCATACATATCGTCTCTGCCTCTGTGTGTGTGATAGAGAGAGTTTAAGCTGTATTTATGAAAGCCATGTAAAAATATGAATTTTAAAGCTGCCTTCACCTTCACGTGAAAAGCAGCAAAACCTTGCTAATTTCTTGATAATTTTTGTTTGGGAGAAAGGGAAGCTAGAAAGCGTTTTCTGTTTTTACTTCTTCTATAATGGGCAGCTGCAGAAGAAGGCAGCACAAGGGGAGGACTTGTACCGTTGTTTTGTCTTTCTCTAATAATAAAAACCAAAGGTATCCATGATAATTTAGTTGGTAGACTTTTTGTTCATAAGCCAAATATATATCTCTATATATACAAAAAGGCATTTCAAAAGTTTTAAGGAGCCAAAAATGACACATGTGAACTACGACTAATTGATCGAGACAATGTATCTTTATTCTCTTGCACTCAAGTTCGAACTCGTCCTAGTTGCTAATTAAAGTAGTTTATCGTATCTATATATTTATCAAAAAAGATAATACTAGGGACACAAAATTTGCAAATTAAATGATGTGCCACTAATACGTCTGACTGTGATCTTAAAGCCCAATGTGGAAACTCGGTGGCTTTTCTATAATGCACCAAAGTTTTCTAATCCATTATGTCATGTTTATTTAATATTAGTTAGTCATGTGCATGCATTACTTTGATATATAATTGCATGAATCATTTCTTATTTTTCTATGTTATTTAATATAGTAATTAGAGCTAAACGGAGAGAAAGGCTGTGCCTTTGTACTTGAGGAGTTGGAGAAGGTGGTGGCCTTGGATGGAGTGAGTGAGTTCGTTGATAGAGAGAGAGAGAGGGAGAAAGGGCTTAATGTGCCAGATACTGAGGAGAGGAGGTTGCCTATTGAGTCTAGACAAAATTATAGCAAGACAAATTTTAAGCTACTACCTTAGTACCTATACTATGTAAAGGGATCCTCTCCGGATCCCTTTCACCTAATTCTCCTCATCAAACAATTCAAACCCATGAAATTTGATCAAACGGCTAAAATTATTATAACTTTTAGAGTGAACCCTTGTTTGTAGCCGTTTAAATAAATTTCAAGGGTTTAGATTGTTTGATGATGAGGATTAGATAGAAAGGATCTGGAGAGAATCTCTTTCCATAGTATAGGTACTAAGGTAGTAGCTTAAAATTTGTCTTTGCTATAATTTTGTCCAGACTCAATAGGCAACCTCTCTCCTTAGTATCTGGCATATTAAGGCCCCTCTCTCTTTATCAACGAACGCACTCACTCCATCTAAGGCCACCACCTTCTCTGACTCCTCAGGTACAAAGGCAAAGCTTTTCTCTCCTTTTAGCTCTAAGTTGCTTGCTTACCTTTAAAACATGTATTCATTTATCTTCTTTTTTTTCTTTCAAGGTTTTACTTTCACACAGGGCAGCCACCACTATCTCCGATTCCGACTTCGACTCCTTAGGTACATAGTAAATGTGTTTATTGTTCATCGTTTGATTCTTTATGTTTGGACCCAATGATTTATATTATCAACACAAAATCATGTAATGGTTTACTCAAACTTGTTTTCTGGGTCCTTGGGTTATATATATATATATATGGATGAGTTTGATTGAATATTTTCTCAATTTATTTGTGAGTGTGTAAGTTAGAGACTCAGCACAAAAGTTCATCCCCAAATTCAAAAAATCTTTATTTTTTTTTTTAATTATTAGTAAATGTTTTTTTTTAAAATTAAATATATAAAAGTGGGAGGCAGAAGGCAGTCTTTAGGCTTGTAATTTTAAATTAAATATATAAAGTGCAAGGTAGAGAAGGTAGTGTGCAGTCGAAAAATGCTTTTGTTTCTCAGCCACACGCATTCACGACACCCTGCAGGCGGTGGAGGCCGACCTAGAGAGGAAAAGAAATAACCCTTTTTTCTTTTGGTTTTTGATCATTCTCTGTTGTATCGTTATGTACTTGCTAGGTATTTCATGGATAACCAAGGACATGGTAATTCGATGCCACAGTTGAACGATGGTAGATGGGCTCGGTGCATGTTGTGGTACTGTTTCTTGCTTTCACATTTGGGTTGATTGTTCACTTTAATAAGCTAAGGGTACTGTTAAGAAGGGATTCCCAATACGGGTACCTCGAAATGGTTCACAGTATTAGTCGCAGTGGTTATGGCAAATCCAAGTATGTGTACCATTGATACAATCATAGGTAAGCTCATATCTTGGATTGTTTCCAAGAGTAGATTTTATCAAAGGCCTAGGCAGCATCAGATCGGTTTGGCAACATTTTGTATATTTCTCCTAGTGGTAATCATAGGGCTTGCAGTAATACGCCTACGGGAGGCGAAGCAGACGACTTCAAATAACAAGAATGCAAAAAATATGAATTATGCAGAGGTATATTACTTTAACGTTATATTGTTGATGACGATTAGGTACAATGATTTTGCGTTCAAGTCTACCGATGGACAACTTTTCGCTTCGTTTTATCTGCTAATTGGACCATTGCTGGTCGTCTGATATTTGAACTTCGTAGTTGGCTCTTTTCTCCAACAGTGGACGGGGTAATTAAATTTACTTTATTTTCGATACCTATTGTTATGTTTGTGTGACTCTTTGAAGTAAAACTTATATTATGTTTGTGTGACTCTTTGAAGTAAAACTTATATTTTTTCTTGATATGTAGACCAAATTTAGAACAATAGTTATATGACGCCAGGGCAGCTATAGTAGTTGATCAAGCTCTTCCCTAGCGTCGTATAACTGGTGTTCTAAGTTTGGTCTGCATATCAAGAAAAATTATAAACTTAATTCAAAGAGTCACAGAAACATAACATAAGGTATATGTAAATAAAGTAAATGTAATTACCCTGTCCACTGTCCAAGAAAAGAGCCAACTAGGAAGTCCAAATATCGGACCACCAGTAGTGGTCCAATTAGCAGATGAAACGAAGCGAAAAGCTGTCCACTGGTACACTTGAACGCAAATTCGCCGTACCCAACCGTCATCAACAATATAACATTAAAGTAATATACATCTGCATAATTCATATTTTTTGTATTCTTATTATTTGCAGTTGTCTACTTCGCCTTCAATAGGCGTATTACTGCAGGCCCTATGATTACCACGAGGAGAAACATACAAAATGTTGCCGAACCAATTTGATGATGCCTAGGCCTCTGATAAAATATACTCTTGGAAACAATCCAAGATATGAGCTTACCTATGATTTTATCAATGGTACACATACTTGGATTTGCCAGAACCACTACGACTAATACTGTGAACCATTTCTATGTACCGTGTTGGGAACGTAGTCTCCATATCCTACAATTGTTATAGTAACAACCGTAAAATACAGAGCCTCTACGAATCCCTTCTTAACACTACCCTCAGCCTGATTAAGGTGAATACTCATCCCAAATGTGAATGCAAGAACTAATACCATAGCACGCCCATACACCACAGTTTTGCTGTGGCATCGGCTGCCAGATTACCCCATCCTTGGTTATCCATGGAAAACCTAGTAAGACATCACGATACAACAGAATGATAAAAAACCAAAAAAAAAAAGGTTGTTTCTTTTCCTCCCTAGGTCGACCTCTACTGGAGTGTGGTGGATGCATGTGGAGGTGTGGTTGAGAAACAAAAGCATTTTTCGCCTACACACTGCCTTTCACTTTTACACATATTTTTTTTTTGTTGACAAACTAGCAATTACTAGTCTCGTATGGAAGTTGATTTCTGTAGGTTGAATTGGAAATGTTGGCATAGCAATGCTGCGGTTTGTTGTTCTTTTGTTTAGTGGCCAAAAATTAAGCAATTTTGTTTAGTGGCTAAGAATTCAGTAGTGTTATGTTATTTAGTGGATAAAAATTCAGCGGTTGTAATTTCTAAACAAGTCGTCGTACCCAGTGCACAAGGCTCCCGCTTTACGCTGGGTCTGGGAGAGGTGAATGTCGGCTAGCCTTACCCCCATTTATGGAAAGGTGAATTTAGAATAAGTTATATAATGACTTTTAACTCATTTTATATTGGTGTGACGAGTTTCAATTACTTTTCAACTAACAATACAGAAAGAAAAGTTACATTAAATCTATCAACTTCAGAACCCTGTCTATATATAACTCGGAAGCCCTGGGGACCCAAAACCCAGAAAACAAGTTAAGACTAAGAGCAACCCATAAATCATTGGGTCCAAACCAACTTGAATTTTCATAGATCATTGTGGAAAGTAAATAATTTTGAATAAACCATTAAATAATCTTGTTTATCTTGAATGAGTGCATATGGTAAACCCAAAGTCATCCAAACCTCATAAAGCTCATCATCCCAACCGTCCATTATGCAAACCAAAAGATTGACAAAAAAACCCATAAAGCAAAGAAAACGATGAACGATGAACGAGAAACAATAAACATATTTATAATGTACCTGAGGAGTCGAAGACAAAGTCGGAGATAGTGGTGGCTACCGTCTGTGAAGGTAAAACCTTGAAAAAAAAAAGGTTAGTTAGTATGGGCTTTAAAGGTAAGCAAGCAACTTTGAGCTAAAAAAGGGGAGAAAAAGGCTTTACGTTTGTACCTGAGAAGTCGGAGAAGGTGGACGCAGGTGGAGTGAGTGCATCCGTTTGAAGGAGTTAAGGATTGGAGCAACTACGTTTGTGTGAACAAGGAACGGAAATACTATGCTGGATGAAGATTTGAGTGCTTATTAATAAGCTGGAGGATCCATGCTCGTTTCAAAGGCAGACATGGAAGTTTGGACAAAGTTATAATAAAACAAACTTCAAGCTGCAGTAACTGCACTATCATCATCCAAAGGCCAAACTCTAATGCAAAAATGAAAAACAATCAATGTTTTTTCACATTGTAAAAACTCAAGATTTAAAAACAATGAAGAAGGATTTAGAGTTAGTTTGAATTTGATGTATGAATTAGAATGGATGTAGTCTTTATATGGACAAAAAAAAAAATATGAGGTTCTGGATAATGTCACGTGTCATTACGTGATCGGTTGAAAATCTTATCGAAATCTTAGCTAAATTATTGTAAACAGATAGTAACACGTGGCTTATCGGGATTGGTTGAAAATCTTATCCCTCCGCAAAATAGTACTTTCGGATAATAACACGTGGCGTGATAAGATTGGTTGAAAATCTTATCGAAATCTTGACTAAATTATTGTAAACAAATAGTGACACGTGGCGCGTCGGGATTGTTTGAAAATTTTATCGGAAATCTATATACAAAATAGTACTTTTGGATAATGACATGTGACGTGATAAAATTGGTTAAAAATCATATCCAAATTTTTTTATTTTTTATTTTATAAAAAAATTAATAATATTTTAATACGAATTGACTAGACTTTATGTCAACGCATTCATTAGGGGTAGACATGTATTTAGTTAATTACAGTTCATTAGATCAATTACTATTCATTTAAGTGAATTAAATGAACCGGATGTTAGCACATTTTTAAGGATGAACTTGCTGTTAGTGTCCTCCATGCCCGGATCTTCTATCACAACACATAAGGTATTTATGTCACTTTGATATGTGGTGAAATTTAAAAAAAAAAATGAAAAAACTGAAGAGGGAATTACTATTTACAGTTGTGTCGACATGACAACTCAATTCCAGCAGTGCCCAACATGGCAACTCAATCCCAACGGTACCAGCGCCAACTCTTCTACAGCTATTACTACTAGCCTTCCACGTTGCCGAATGCTTTCATTATATTCCCAGCCTACCTAGTTTTGGTCTTCGTTTTGACAGATTCTCCTTTTAACTTAATTCTAATAACTTTATCTCACTAAAATCATCTCCAAAAATATTTAAAAAAAAACTAACTTAAAAAATTTAGATTGTAACTTAAAAATAGTTTTTTCTGCTTTGTATTAAGTAAACCTTGAAATAAAAAAGAATGTGAATGTGTATGAGTTTTGAATTAGAAAGTGGAGAGAAAGACGTTGTATTTGTACATGAGAAGCTCGAAGAAAATAAACATATGTTGATTCACACAAAATAAAAGGTTTTACCTATTTCATTTTCCCTAAAACCACCAAAGCCAAAATTGTGTGACAAGCAATTTGAGGGTCTTCATCGTCATCCGATTCAGTTGGGGACTCCATTCCGGAGGTAGTAACAATCTGTTAAATGAAAAACAATAGGAAAATTTTAGTATTCCCGAGTAGGGCAGCAACACTGAGTTTTTTTTTGCTCCAAGCAGCACATTATAAGTAGAACAAGTTGAGAATTTTCCATACCTTAAATCAGAGCATATATTGTATTGTGTTCCCTTTCCCTTTCCTACTTTGTATTTTATTTTCTCTCACGAACTTTTTTCACACCTACACAAACAAAGTAAGCAGGAGTTGTTCTCGGATAGATTTTTCTCCCACCCACAAACTATATTCTTTTATCTTTATAAAACAAACAAGCAGCAGGAGAAGAACAAGAGGAGGGTTAGGTTTTGAAAAGTGTCAATTCTCATGTGATTATATAATGGGATTGTGCGGGGAGGGAAAGAGAACATAGTACAATAGTAGTTGGGATTAGTACAATAGTAGTTGGGATTATTAATTTCGATCGGATCTGAAAATAGTAGTTGGGATTCTTTACTCCACGAATAAAATCATCAACGTAATTCGAAGGGACGAGGATTCTCTTCCCTCCTTATCTTTCTCCTCATCCATCTCCTCCTACTTGAACAGTTACGGTTAAACTATGTCAACATCTTATTTTGATTTTTTTTATAAAGACAATAAGACAAAAAACAATTTGTGAGAACATGGGAGGTAAGAGGATGAAAATAGGAGGAGAAAAAAATCTACTCCAATTCGAAGACAAGAACCGCATGAAAGATAAAAGCATAACCTGGATCAGAGGCAGTGCCTGCATGATAATAACCACATGCTCAGGCTCAGCTATATAATCAAACCATGGCTCATAGTCATAGGGATTCTTGCACAGTCAGCTGCTAGGGTTAGGGTTAGGGTTTCTCTATTCTTTTGTAAGTAATTACTATCCTTTAGCTTTTTTTTTTTTTTTTTTTTTTTTGGTGAAAGTACTATCCTTAAAAATCTGTATAAGTTGTTGAGGCAAGCTATTATCCAAGTAATATAGACAACACAAAGAATATAAGCTTTCATATAGTGATAATTCATCGTGGTTAACATGTAAATGATAATTATATGAGTAACTAAAATAAAAAAAAATAAAAAAAACCTTTAGCTTTGAGTTCATTATGTCATGTTAGACATACCTCTTTTCTTTTGTTCTACTCTCCGCTGAAGTTTAAAAGGTGAAACTGGAGAATGATTTTGCAATGTGAAGCACAAATCGGATCTTGGTGTAGGCTTTCAAGACTAGTGTGGAAACATAAAAACGTACATGATTAGAATGTGGCTAATATGGTGTGTTTATGTTTCCATTATATGGACCATTGATTGAGGTTGCACCACCTATTACCTACACTATCATCCAAGGCCAAACTCTTTCTGCAAAAATGAAAAACAGCTGATGATTTTCCACATTCGTATGAACCGGCGGTCCTTTAATATCCTCCATGCATGAACCTTGCTCGACCACACAAAAGGAAGGTTGGTTGCTTGTAATTGTAAGGCAACTTTAAGAGTATTTATGTCACACTGATATATGTTGAAATCCAAAAATGAAAATACCAAACAACAACTAAATCTTATCTCACTAAGTGGGATCGGCTGTATGAATCCTATAATGTAACTGAGCACGACTTTGCATCAAGTCTTCTGTTAGCTCAAAGTATTCCATATCTTTTCTTATAGTCTATTTCCTAGGTCTTTATCTACCCATTTTGTCTTGAGTCTCCTTCTCATAGTCACAATTTCTAACTGGAGCATCTGAAGGTTTTCAGTTCACGTGCCCAAATCATTTTAACTAATTTCCTCCCATCTTATCTTCAATTCAGGTCACTCCTATTTTACCTCAAATATCTTAATCCTATCATTTCTCATGTGCCTACACATCCATCGAGAACCATGATGTGCACCCATCATATATGAAGTCTTAGACTAAGCACATCAATGATTCTGAAAGTATTAGAGAAGTGTGACTGGATTACTGGAAGATAGATACATAAATTAGACTGAGGAGGTGTGTTAGTGGATGCGTTGGATGTGGGCTAACAAAAGTACAAATATACGATAACACTTGACTGCACTGTATATATATCCATGTCTGTGCATGTGTATTTAATGGCAGTGCCAGTGGTAGAAGTTCTACTTTCTACATCTTTATAACTTTATTCAATTTTATAAGGTGATTTTAGTTCCTCCTTGTGATTTTAGTTCCTATTTTTTTAACGGCTTTTTATTGCATACTCGTCACGCATGTAGTATGCCCATATGCCAATTAGGAATGCAAGAATCACTATCACAAATTGCAGCCCAAGCCAACACCGTGGTTGGTCTGCGCCATTGGCTGCTGAATTACCACCTCCTTGGTTATCCATCAAAAGCCTAGCAGGTCATTTAACAACAAAGATTAATTATATCTTGATTGATCTTATGATCGAAACATTACTTTAGTCTAAAGAAGGGTTTTCAATTGCACTGTTCAAATGAACAGTTGTTTTGGACCGAATTTCACTTTATTTACAAAATTGCCACCGCTTTGCACAATGGAAGAGCGCCCACTCGTCAATCATCGTGGATTGCTCAGCTTCGACTATTTATCCGTCTGTTTCCATCCCCTTTTTCATTCCCTCTTTTTCTCCCCGACTCTCTGTAAACATCCATCAAATCCCCCCATCCCTCCCTTTTCTCACTCTCTAATTTCCCTAAGATCGCTCACCCATTCTCAGTCTCGCCAGCCGCGAACCCCTTGACAGCTTGCAACTCCATGCTCCGCCTCCAGATTCGTCGCATATACCAGCTGAGACCGTCATCATATGAACAAATCCATGATCAGAAATCAGATAGGAGAGCCCCAAGACCGTCGCCTGCACTACCGTCTCAGAAAAGTGAGCCAAAATCTATCGAGATCCAAGAAGGTAAATGTGTACGCTTTCGAGCTAGAAAGCGGAGAGAAAGGCGTTGTCTTTGTACATGAGGAATCGAAGAAAATAAACATGTTGATCCACACAAAATAAATGGTTTTACCTCTTTCATTTTTCCCTGAAACCACCAAAGCCAAAATGTCTTCATTGTCATCCAATTCGGTTGGGAGCTAATTGCGCATCAGTTACTGTATTTATTAAAGCCAATGGTCCCAATGACTCTACTCAAATTCACAAGTTCAATAATATGATCACGGTTTTATGATTTTTTTTATCCGTATAGTTTGTTCAAACGTTACATTTCCTCTCGTTCGTATTAGTTAGAAAAATCAGTATCGCTTATATTTTCCAAACAGGCTAGTAGTTAAAAATACATGAAGAATCTCTGAAGCTGATAGTACTCAGTCATACTAATAAAATGACTTAAAAGTTGATAAATTCTTATTTAGAAATTCTAAGCTGTTAAATTCTTGGCCACTAAACAAAACTAATTAATGAATTCTTGGACACTAAACAAAACTAATTAATGAATTCTTGACTAGAAAACAAAAATAATTGGCTATTATACAAAAAACAGTGATATTATATATCATGGAGAATTTGGTTAACAACTGTACCTTCTTGCCCCCTTCATTGAATCAAACACAAGAAAAAAAATTAAGTCCCAAATGTATTATAATAAATTGTTGTAAACTACCTAAAGCGGATGGATGATGTCGTTAATTAGCGGTATTTCATTCCTGAATAGAGTGAATGACGCTTGAGTGTTATTGAAGTCTTGAAGCCAATTTTGAATTTCATCAACAACATTCTCTAATTCCCTTTCGAAGTTTTCCACCAATAATATCATTCTTTGTCTTCTCTTTGTACTCATATGATCTCTCTTCAATCCCAAGGTGGTTCTTGTATGATACCATTGCTTAGTCAAGTTTAGGCTGCATATATAATAAAATTCACTTATAAAATAAACAAAAATAGATAATATGAAATATATGTGTTCATAAAATTAATTAATTACCTGATCCTCCAATGTTGCCATGAGATATTCAAGAATTTGATATAGCAAGACACATGATGCGGTAAACACATAGAATGAAGCGAAAACTTTGGAGGACGTGAAAGAAAAATCCACGTAGCCAATGGTCATTATATTAAAGTACCACATATCTAAATTGTAGAACTTCTTACCCTCCAATATAGGATGTTAATTAGCAACAAAAGCAACAAAATTGTTGCAGAAACAATCTGAATATAGCTATTGCTTTGGTTAAACCCCGTCCATTACGTCGCTTGAAATAGAAGCCAACCAATGGCTGCATTGATGATAGTTGTAGCCCCAGGCGCAAAAAAAAAAATCATGAAGTAGTGATGTGATCAACATCGAAATAACCGTGTATTTCGATATTGATCACATCACTACTTACGATTTTTTTTTGCGCCTAGGGCTACAATTGCCATCAATGCAATCATTGTTTTGCTTATATTTTGAGCAACTCGAATGGATGAGGTTTAACCACAAAACTAGCTATTTTTAGATTGTTTCTGCAACAATTATGTTGCTTTATTTGCTGATATCTATATTGGAGGGTAAGAAGTTCCACAATTTAGATGTGTAGTACTTTAATATAATCACTGTAATGGTGTTGGCTACAAGGATTTTTCTTTCATATCCCCCGAAGGTTAAGTTCTTGTTTCATTCTATGTGTTTATCACATCGCGTGGCTCACCATATCAACTTCTTGAATAGCTCATGGCAACACTGGAGAATCAGGTAATTAATTAATTTTATGAGCACATATATTTTATGTTATCTATTTTTGTTTGTCTTATAACTGAATTTTATTATTTATGCAATCTAAACTTGACTGGGCAACAATATCATACAAAAACCACTTTGGGATTGGAGAGAGCTCATGAAATGACTACAAAGAGAAGACAAAGAGTGATATTATTGGTGGAAAACTCCGAAAGGGAATTAGAGAATGTTGCTGATGAAATTCAAAATACAATAGCACGACTATAAGATTGGCTTCAAGTCTTCAATAACACTCTAGCAAAACATCGAGCGTGATTCACTCTTTTCAGGAATGAAATACCGCTAAGTAACGACATCATCCATCCACTTTAGGTAGTTTATAACAATTTATTATAATACATTTGGCATTTGGGATTTAATTTAATTTTCTTGTGTTTGATTCTAATGACTTTATCTCACTAAAATCATCTCTAATTTTTGAATTAAAATTTAAAAATTTAGGTTGTTATTTAAAAATAGTTTTTCTATTTCAACCTTTCTAGATTAATTTTTTAGTCTGAGATTATAAAATAATGAATTTAGGCTATTTTTTTTAAAGTAACTTAAAAAAAAGGAGAAATTAGGTTTTCATCCCTCATTTTGCTATTCCATTGATTAAAACCTTATTCTTTTTCAATTTTTGATCAAGGTCCTTGGATATTAATAACATCATTAATTATTTCAATAATAAAATATTTTTTATTTCTAAATATATTCATGTAGTGTTAAAAATGTTACAATTAATATATTTATATTTATGGCTAAATTTTTTATCATATATTTTTATTTTTAGTTTGTACCCATTTTTAATTTGCAACCCTTTTTTAATTTGTACCAATTTTCTTTTCAGTTTTAATTTGTACCCATATATTAATTTCTTTTTGTGCCATATTTTTTAAAGTTTTATTTGTATTTGTACCCATGCTAATTATATGTATCCATTCATATAATTTTTTCAAAATTTTATTAAAATTTACTCATTCTTAAATATACCAATTTATTATATGTAAAATGTAAATTTTATTTTATATAAAATCTATTCAATTTTTAAACTTATATGGGTACATTATTTTTTCTTGATTTGAAAATGTATCCATGTCAAGTTTAATTGAAGAAATTTACTAATGTTATTAAGCCTAATATTTTTTTTTGTGATTTTGAAGAATGTACCTATGTTTTGGTAATAATTTTTTGGTTAATGTACCCATGTTTACACATACACACACAATAGTATATTTATATTTTAATCCCACAAATTATGGTTTTTTATTTAAAATCTCATTAATATAAACAACTATAACTTTCAATTTTTAATTTAAAAAAATAGTAACATACATAGAAATAAATTATCACATTAATTTCAAGGACTTCGATTAAAAATTGAAAATCAACAAGGTATTCATAACTAGGGACCGCATCCAAAGTCTCCCAAAAAAAAATTATGTAGATTATTTTAATTTAATTTTATGTACATTTTAATCTATAAATATTTACATTCCGATAAATATTAAAAAATTGTTAAACTGACACAATCAAACTCATGGTACACTATGAAAAAAAGATGAAACACATGATAAAGAGGTATAACACACGAAACATATGAAAATTAGCCATAGAATTTAATTTTAGATCTTTATATACATCTTTTTTTTTTTTTACCTCTAGATTAGATTATAATAGATTAGATCATATTAAACTCATGGTACACTATGAAAAGAATATGAAACACATGAAAATATATGATAGATTAGATCATATTAAACTCACCCTCTACCCCTTGTGCTGCCTTCTGTTCTGCTGCTGCCATCACAGAAGAAGGAAAACAGAAAAGGCTTTCTAGCTTCCCTTTCTTCCAAACTTTTTTATTTTTTATTTTTTATTTTATGAAACAAAAATTATGAAGAAATTGGCAAGTTTTTGCTGCTTTTGTCTCATAAACGCGAAGGCATCTATAAATTCATATTTTTAATCGCCAATATATTATGAGAATCATGTAATGGTTTTTGAATAAAAAAATTATGAGTATTGATCAATAAACTTAATACAAGTTTATAATATGGAGTAATAAAAGTTCTAATCAAAATGTATCTTACTCCACATAATGAATTCAGAAACTAAGACTCACTTTTTAATTCAAGATCAAAGCTCCAAGAATCAGCGGGCGGTGCCTGCGTCTGGCGGGGACTTGGAAACTCGCTGGTCCCTGCCACCTGCTCCTTTTGTAAAAATAAATGTGGATGCAGTTGGGTTGAGTCTTCACGTTCGGGGTTTGTGGGTTTGGTGGCGCGGGATAGTACAGGGAAGTTTTTGGCTGCTAGTGGGCAGGCTATTGCGGCTTTGTGTGTTAGTCAAGCTGAGGCCTTGGCTCTTTTGCTTGGTTGTGAACTGGGTATCTCACAAGGGTTTAGTTGTATAATTCTTGAATCGAATTTGTTGGAATCGGTTTCTTGTTTGAATGGCAGTTGGAGGGCGTATCCCATTTTGGCAAGTCCAGAAGTATCGGGATTCCTTTCAGGATTGCCGCTGATCTTGGAGACCTAGATCAGTCAACAAGGCTGCAGATTTGTTAGCGTCGCAGAAGTCTAAGAAGATGGACGATGTTTTGTGGGTTGACCGACCCCCATCCTCCTTGGTTTTCGTCTTAAACTTCGATGGATTGCCTTGTCCCCATTAGGTGTTCTTGGCTTTGCGGGGAGTGACGCTTTGGCTTCTAGTGCCGCGTCAGTCTTTCTTGTAGCTTCCTGCAAAGTTTGTTTCCAGTGTTCTGTTGATGTTTGCCTGGTTTGGCCTTCTGTTTGTGTTGCTTCTTAGCCCTGGGATTGTTTTTCCAGTGTTCCAAAAAAAAAAAAAAAAAAACTCCCATAAAAGATTGACATGACATGTTTGGGAGTCTGGTGACTTGTCTCCCCTATGCTGTGCATGCAGAGTTCATTATAAAAAATTAAAAAGAAAAAAAGAAAAAAAAAAGAAATTATGTTCTCAATCTTTTTTTTAGGGATGTGATATCCACACACTCTATTTTACTTCTCACACACCTTTTTAATTTTTGGCCGTCGGATCGGATGAATTGAAAAAGATCAACGAACAGAAATCATCCAGGGGTGTGTGAGAAGTAAAATGGGGTGTGTGGATAGCACACCCCTTTTTTTATTGCATTGATTAAAATTTTAATTTTTTTAATTTTTTATCAAAGTTTACTTTTAATGAATGTCATTATTTTAATTATAAATTATTTACATACCAGCATAATGGAAATCTTTAAAGAAATATATTTCCATTTTTCTAATAAAAATGAGAATTAGTTGTGAGGTTTATACTATATCGAATTTTAACGATCCAAACAATCTATTTTTCAAGTTACATCTCATAGATCATCCTTGCAAAATATTAGCCGAATAAAAAATATTTAAGATATCTAATTGGGTTCAAAGAAATTAATGAATACTTTGTTATATTAGAAATAATGAAATTTTATTTTGATAATTAAATAAGCAAATAGTTTATGATTAAATTAAATTTTTGTAAAGATGATCTATGAATTGAAACTTACAAAATAGACAAATATATATAGAATGAGTAGATAAAAATATATATATAGAAGCCTAAGCTCTTCCGCCCCCTCCGACTTGAAACTAAATAATCGTCGTAACCCACTGTCATTAGTGAGATGATGTTCGAGTACAAAATATCGTTGTCCTCATTTTTTCTTCGGTAATGCATTAGGTTTCCTCAAATATGCACGTGGCTCAGACTTCTGATGCTTAAAAAAATGCACTAAGGAATGCAACATAAATAGACGCCAGTCGATAACTCTCTCCACAACACGTATAATTATGCTTGAGTATACCAGAACCATGCACGTCACGAACTCTGATGAATTGGTGTTGGGCGTCAAATCACCGAATCTCATTATTGTTATGGTATTGTATGGTAGGAGACATCTATACGATGCTTTCAACTCACATTGGAGTTTGGAGGGGCGGAAGATCGTAAAAAATGGCTTTACTAAATAAAGGCAATAGTCACTGTCATGAGCGGAAAATGATCATTGCCCGATCAATTTTTCTGGAAATTTTATGAATTCCGTGATTGAAATCGTTCATCGTATATCATGCGGTCAATTTTCATTAGATACTATTTATATTTAATTTTAAAATGATTTATAACCACACGATATACGATGGACAATCTCGATCATAGAATCTCCAGAAAAAGGACGGGTCCTTTTCCAGTCATAAGCAACCACAAAGATCCCGAATTGGCTACCATACTTGCGCATCGTTATTGATACGTAAGAAAGCGTAGCAATATATTAGAGAAATCACATGAAAATGATCATGACAGAAAGACTCGGTCCATAAAATAAAATTAAAAAGTGACCTAGGTTCGATAAGTAGAAGATAGATGCAATAGCTTTTCCAGTATCTTAAAAATTGAAATCACTGTACTCGACAATTATCAATGAGATGACATTAAAATAGTAGACATCACCCTTTCCCATTCTCTTATTCTGACTGAGCCCGTCGTATGTTTTTCCTCGAATTACTGTGTGAATACGCCTGAAAAAAAACAACCACGGATTGCAACATGATATGGGAAGACCTATCACATTCATTATTAAAATTCATCACACAAAGCCAGATTTACAAAAAAAAAAAAAAAACACAAATGTTGGGATTTATTGATGATTTGCCACAAAAGAAAGTTGCTTGGCAATGGCATTGCTAGCACGTAGACGTGTTTTACATGATTGGACATTGTTGGAAGCAGTGTGGTGAATATGAAAGATTCAAGTAAATTCGGGTATAAATTTGAAAAAAAATAAATAAAAGTTGAGGACCAAATGTTAATTAATCAAAGATCCAACTGATCACCAAGTCTGTAATGTAAATAGGCAGTTAACAAATATTCTAGCCAAAAGTAATAGGAATTAGACCTAAGATGATTCCAAATAGAAAAACTTTAGTCATTTCAGTTTGTTTGAAAGGGAGAAGGGAGAGGTAATATTTTGTTGTATCTAAAAACCTTTATTTATTTATTTTTTTTTTTTTTTTTTTTTTAACACAAAGAGATAAAAGAAGTCATTGCAATTGCCGGAAATACTAAGCCCACTAAACGCAATAATTTATAATTTAGGCATATATTTCTTTCTCAATCCTAATCCATTAGGTTTCAAATCAATAATTAACGAGAATGAACACCCAACAAACACATGCCCGTGCCTCTTAATATTACGGTCTAGTGGTGTTTCTCTTCACTTGTAAGTGAGAGGTCTTAGATTCGATTATCGCCAAAGACGAATTAGAACCATATTGCTAGCTCATTGTAAGGTTTAACTTAGTCCTCCATTCCTATTAATATTAGATAATATATCATTTGTTAAAATTTAAAAAAAAATCCCCTACCCCTCCAAATCAATATTAACCACCAACCTGTACCTTATGAGGCCTGAGAGGGGTTGTAGCGCAACGATTCGTGGCGATTGTCTAGGATATTGCATGCAATGGCCTTGATCTTGTGGTATTACAAACTACCTCTAGAAGATTGAAAGTCAGAGTGGAGTCAGCCACCATTTCCCAGCTCAACATGACGAGTTTCGAGTTAACCATTGAGTGGGAGCTGATGCTCATAGTCACAATAAACCCGAATGACAAGAACGGCATCGACGTCTATTTCCGTGATCGTTTTCTTGCCACGCTCTTGTACTATGACAACTTGATGGTGGCGACCAAGTCATTGCCTCCTCACTTCCCTTAAATAAAGAGACAAACCAAACAGTCACTTTGAGTTTCGAAATGGGAGCAGAAATAGCATACTTATGCAAGACCTGATCAAGGAAATCTCCGGCGGAACATCTGGATTGGCGTCATGGTATTGGCTCAGTATATGTTCATCCCTGCGGCTTGGTAAACTGAGGGATTGAATATGTTGCAAGTCTCCTGAGGTTATGCAAGACAAAGTCTAGCCATAGAAGGGACATTGTTTGACTCTTAATTGAATGTGTTGATAAATGTAATTACAATGGACTAGTGTTATGTAATTATTGATTGTCTTAACTTCAAATTAATCTTGTGATTTTTTTTTTCTTCCATCACATTACTGATATCAAATGTAATTCAGTATTACATACATTGTTGTTGAGACATGTAAGGTTTGGGCTCAAATGCCTTGAGAGGGGGTTGCTCATTGGTAACCGGTAGAATTAGGCAAAGGATAATGCTAGAGAGACTAAATTTGTGGACAAAATTTTGTAAACTAAATAACATGGAAGTTAACGATTTGATTATTACTTAAGTGTTGATTAACGTGCTTATTTTTTATTTGTGACATATCATTTAGTTTATCAACACTACTCTTACGAAAATATTATGCAACTTTAGCCATAACCATGCTCAAATCTTTCCAATAGTTTTTTTGTCGTTGTAATGTTATAGTTGATGATTTTTTTATATCAACTATAGTTGACGACTAGAAAGTACTACCCGCGCGTTGCTGCGGGATTAGAAAATGCATGAAAGATTATGTTTAAAATATAACAAAGGTTGTGTTGTAGTAAATTGTTTCAATTTAGGTACAATGAATTGAAACTTTGAATAATCACACCCAATGTTGTGAAGAAAGGTTTTGTCTGGAATAACACTGATTTTATATCTGCACTGCAGTTCCGGCTAGAATACGAATAAATTTACAAAATGATTTGCTTATTTTGGTAAGAGATTTAACAAATCAGGTATAATTTATGACAGTAAATGCAAGAACGGATAAAACACTCTAAATAACTATAAGTTTTACAGAAAAGCTTTTCAATCCAATATCATCCAAAACTATGTGTTCTGAAACGAAAAACAGAAGCCAATCATATATAGCCAAAATTACAATGAAAGATTTCATATTTTTCTAGATAAGTCGTATTCCCTTTCATTATGTATGATAACATTGAAGGTTATAGCATGCCAATTCCACATTGAAAGTTTGTATAGCTTTATTTTACAGAATATCAAGAGGCAAACCTGCAGAGCCGCTGAACATGCTCCAAGGTCCCAAACTTTGAAGTTCTTAATAGCAATCTTTTTCATGGCTTGGTAGCTCATATAGCATGACATCGCCCATGTTTGTTCCAACTGAAATCATAAAATCGCTTATTACTAAAAGAGAAGTATTATCCAACATTTGAAACAATGACATAAAAAAGACATACAAATACAATAATTCACAATGAGTGGAATTGGAGGTCAGCTCTCTAGAGCTTACCAAGAAGAAAAATTTGTTGCATTGGGTGGAAATCCATACTCTTGACAGTTGAACCTGGACGTAAAGTCATAACAACAGACTTGGGCAAGTCATTAGAAGAGTAGGAACTCTGACCATGGCTCTGATTAGGATACGCAACAGGCAACATATTTACTGGCAGATTATTGGCCTGTTAGAAATTGTGTTAATATAGAATCAATTACATAAACTAAGAAGTTGAAACTTGAAATTTTTCTGTAAAATAAAGCTATACAAATTTTTGGCATAAAAGTTGCACACAGCTCATAAAAAAAAGGGAACTGCAAGACCATTTGCATCATGTTTATAAGAAAGAAAAAAATTCTTTTAATTCTGTTAAGCATCCTTCATGATCAGCCATGTTCTAGTATTTTGGATAATCTAAACTTACCTTTTTGTTACTGGCCTTTTAGGGAACAATTTCGCTACCTACCTTTTATGGAACAATACATTAAGGATATGAAATACATTTATTTCTGTAATTTAATATTACACGGTCAAAAAAATATGTCATAAGAAAGAAAAGCTTCAAATTTAGCAATGTAACTCAGACTTCCATCAGATAAATCAGAATGTGCAAAAATTAACGGATAGATTTATACCTCATCTGTTATCTCGAAAGGTCTTGATCTCTTCAGAACGTGCTCAGAATCAGCTGTTTGATAGTCCATAGTTGGGTTACTGGTTGGAGTCGTCCTAGGGCACTTGATTGCAGCTATGTCATAAGCTTCTGCAGCTTCCTCTTGGGTGCCTAAAATTCAATTCAAGTTTAGACTTTTGTACGAAACTGCATTAATTAGCTTTGCAAGAAAGATCAAAACTTTGCAGTAAAATATAGCCTTTATAAGTGATTTTAGCTGGAAAGTCTTTTTCTAAAACAGCCTTTAAAAAGTTCATTGTTACAATTAAAAGCAGACATTTCATCAGCATTATAAAAAGTGTGAGAACAGAGTTGCTGTAAAAATAAGTCATTTTGAAGAAGTGCTTAAGCAAAGAGCCTTATGGAATTTAGAAAATGTGACCGAAAACAAAACGAATTCAAACAATGTATGAATTTTACCAAAAGTTCCAAGATAAAGATGCTTGTTCCCAGTACCTCGGCCAATCCTAGCTTGCCATCTCCCATGCTGGTGATGTCTGCAGAAAACCAAGATCAGAAAACAAAACCAAAATTAGAACAATATTAACCCTTTTAACCTTCAAATTTGGTGCGTTTAATGCAAAACCGAAAAAACCTTGTCATGCCTCGGTACAGCGAAGGCCCTCTTAAAAATCCACTGCTTTTCCTGAAAATCAAAGGAACTGATGAATACTCATAAAAAATTTTAAAACATTAGAAAACAATCTTCTGATTAACAAATCAAAATCGCTACCTTCACAGATGCGCAATATATTCCCGCCAGCTTATGTTATTCATCTCTTCAAGTTGTGCAGTGTAAATATCCAACTGCCAAAAGACCAAGAGAATGAAACTTCAGCTACTAAAAAGCTTTCACAAATTGATAAAAACTCCAAGAGTCAGAACCCTACCGGAAAGTTTATATGAGTTGAAGAACCCCAGTACTTAAGAGCAGCAAGACCATATGCTCTAGCAACTTTCTCCTCCATATCATAACCTCCTGCAGTTCAAACGAACAAATGATTAATGCAAATCGACAAATTAGGTGACAATTAAAACTAAAATCCAAATCAAAAATGCCAAAATCTGAAAGGTACCGTTTCCCGAAACTGTAAAACAAAACGTTTCAAACATGCACAAAAAACGATCCAAGGAAAAACAAAAAATTGAAACCATATACGTTGAGAAGCATGCAATCTGACAAAAAAAATCCCAAAATCCGAAAGGTACCACTCCTAATCCTAACCTTAATTCTCAGAACAACCAGATTCCCAACACCAATTGACAATCCAACCATGAATTTCCAAAACTTTCCCAAATCCCAATCTTCAGCATGCATTAAATCCTATCTAAAACTTAACATGTACTGGATAATGAAGAATCACCCCAAATTGCTATGAAGGTCTGCTGCACACGTGAGGACACGTTCACAAAGCCTTTCAATGGCTGAGATTCAACTTTCAAATATGAAGACTTTAAGCCACAATTGTTCTTTCTTAACTTTAGCTACTTCAGCTACATAATCAGAAAAGAAAAAAAAAATTCATTATAGTTAACTAATTTGGGTTAAGATTAATAAAAAAGCTTGGAAATTTCAAATCTAAAATCACACCTCATGCTGCAAGAAGAATAAAAATCATGGAATTTCAAAACCACTCACCTTAAACACAGAGGTCTTCGCAGGCTTCAAAGAAAAGTCACAAACTCAAAAAAACCCGATCTCCTGAAATTGAAAAACAAAACCAAATTAACCTTCATCACCTAGAATCCGAAGATACAAACAAAATTCCGAAAATCACAACCAAAAAATTTTAACAAAAAACCCATTTAAAATCCAAACTTAAACTCCCAAGCACATAACATTCAAAGCAATGCAGCAAAGACTTGTGCACAAAAAAACCCAGAACTAACCACAAAACGGCAAGACTTCAGACGTGAAGAAGTCAGCGTGCGAAGCGCAGGAGCAAAGCTGAGAAGACAAAGACAACAAAGTGAAAACGAAAGGCAGAGAGCGAAAGAGAGAAGCGGAAAAACAAAAGGAAAAAGTGAGGAGAGAGCGATGAAAATGAAAGAAAAAGCAATAAGACCTCCGAACAGAAAACGTCCCGATCATCAACACGTGGAATACAGAGGCCAAAAAAATCTGAGCAAAACCAAAAAAGTAGGTGGAAACGGATGAGGATGGGGAAAGAAAAACCCAAAGCTTACAAAAACAAAAAAAGAAGCAAAAGCTAAACGGACGATAGACGCGTGCGGTAGGAAGGCACGATGGTCTTTTTGCTGTGCTAAAAGGTCAAAAAACAACAAATCACAAAGGAATTAAATGGCAAAACAGTAATTTCACTGTTCATAAACAGTGTTTTTGTGTTGGATTTTAGTATAGGTATAATATATAAATAAATGTAACTGAGAAGAGAAAAAGAAGGTTTGAGAGAGAAAGAAAGGTCAGGCGGAAAAGAATGAAAATGAGGAGAGAGAGAGACGTGAGGGATGAGAGATGAGAGAGCCCTGACATTTTTTAATCTTATATTTTTACCCACCAACTACCAAAAGCTGATGAGAGGATAAAAAGAAGGTTTGAGAAAGAAAGAAATGCAGGCGGAAAAGAATGAAAATGAGGAGAGAGAGAGAGACGTGAGGGATGAGAGAGAGGGGGACAGATGGGAACCACTGACATTTTTTAATCTTATTTTTTTGTCCAACAACTACCAAAGCTAATAAGAGGCAGTGAAGGACAAAATAGACTTTCCACTGTATCAAATTGTGAACAGTAAGCAGAACAAAGAAGAAACTGAGGGCATTTCCGTCCAAACACTGTTCACGAACAGTGAAAAACAGTGCCACCCGAGTTTGGGTTTTAGTATATGTATAATTTTAGGATGAGTGGAATGAAATATCTTTCCCTTGTGTAAAAAATTGTGCTTGCAATTGTGTTTCTCTTTGAATATGAATTTCTTATGTGTGCTATACTTATTGTACACAAAAACACAATACAGAAGCACACGGGGTTAAGTACATTGAATAGTTTTCATTGTACTACAAGTACAAGTATACTTTAAGGACTGAACATGTATGCTCTTCAAATTTTTCTAGCTAGATCTCTAAGGCCATCTCCAACCGAAGGCTGGCTAGATGACTCGTTTTAGCCATCTAGCCCTCCAAGATATTAATATTTTAATAAACAGTACATGGCCATATTTGCCTTCATCTCCAACCGAGGGCCAAAAGGCCATAGGGCTTGTTTTAGCCCTGTCACAAAAAAAAGTCTCTAACCGAGGGCCAAATATAATTTATTATTTAAATTTAATGTTGTTTCACGTTACTTAATTTAATTTAATATTGTATAATAGCTTAGGAAGTTATAGAAAAAAAAAAGAATTTAATAATAATAATAAAAATTGTAAAAAGAAAAAAAAAAGGGCCTACTATTCTTGTCGGATATAACCTACAGGAATAAGTGCAATGTTGTCGGTTATATCCGACATGACTAATGAAAATCCAGCCCGGCCCGTGGCTAGCTGGATTGGGCCAGCCATTTGACCTTTTCAGATTTCGTGGGGCCCACGAGCCCTTTGGCCTAGCCCTCGGTTGGAGATGATTTTTGGACTATTTTCGGCCCTCTGGCCCTTTGGACCCTTTGGTTGGAGATGGCCTAACATGACAAATGTTGTTTGCGAGTCACCAATATGAGCCTTTAGCACATTTGTGTTGGAGATGATCTTAGGTTTTTCTAGTCCTTTTTTGGGTTTGGATAGGAAAAGAAATTTACGCAGCCAGGGTGTCTTGGTAGGTCCTATCCCATAGCGAGGGGAGAAACTTTTAGCAACAAATGCATTATCCTAGTGACATCACCTATTCAGTAAACGTTTGTTATGTGTTCAAAAAGTGACAATATACGTCTAATAAACATTTAACCATATGATAGATAAAATACATCTTATAACTTTTTCTGGTAGCTGCCACATAATCAAGATATCCCGTAGAAACTCGGTTGAGCTATACCATTTGGGGGTTGCTCATTTTACTACCTTTCATATTAAAAATAGTCATCTTTATCCTGAGTCCATTATTCCGGTCGTATGATAGGTATGGAACCAATAGGATCCTCTCCGTATCCTTTTGGTGAGGATTATGGGGATCCGTGAATTGTGTCCGTTCATTGTACATCGTGCGGTCAATTTTTGTCAAGTACTATTTAAAATGATTTCTGATCACACGATATATGATTAATGGACATGATTCACGGATCCTCAAGATCCTTACAAAGAGGATCCGGACTCGGTATATGGAAAAGAGCATATGCAATTAGCCTTGCATCCAGACTTCCAGAGCAGTCTTGAGCCCTCAACAGAGAACGAAGGACTATATATTTATTTTTGGAAACGAAGGACTATATATTTTTTTGGACAAAAAACGAAGGACCATATATAATCATCCAGAAATAGGGTCTTATTCCCCAAGTCCTTTATCTCCGACTCTAACTGCCAATTTCCCTCACTCAATGGCATCTTCAAAACCTTAAACCTAGTTCATTTGGTCACTAGAGAACAGGATTATGAAACTTTAATTGTTCTCCCATGCAGAGGTTGCCGACCAAACTTACAACTTTTTCTGGTGGAAGCATTTGAGGTTATTCTATTTAGTTCAAACTCTACTAACTAATCATAAGAAGAGGAAAAAACAAGCATGAAAGACTATTGCAAAACGTTTCTACTATCGTCATTTACAAAATACTACTGAAGGAACAACAAAACTTCGTCACTAATTAGTTCACTTGCTCAGCCATTGTGAAAGAAGGTTTCCATGGCAAGTTTTTGCAGAGGCAGCCCTGCCAAATCTCGATAGTTTTGCCTGTTGTGTCAACCACATCACGGTGACCATTCTTGGCATTCAAGTCTGACTTTTTGTTTTTTGTGCTACTGAGCTTGTTTGATGGATGTGGCACCTAAACGAGGCGTGTTCCGTGGGAGCGCATATGCAAGTCTTCTTGGAACTACTTGTATTTTTAACTGGTTTGCTTTCGGTCATATTCTTCCTTGGAATCTTCTTTCGTATGGCCTTGGCTAATTCATCTTCTCGACTAGGCAGACTACCCGTCACTTTATCAAGCCTGGTAATTGTAAATCATAAACACAGGGGGATTGGGAGTATCCATTACAAGGATAAGAAGCATATGCATTATTGTTATACTATCGCACAGCTTCGTAGTTTTCAATGAAACACATAGAAGCAGCAAAGTAACCAAAAGAGTAATGCTAGAAAAACTAAATTTGTAGACTAAATTTACAAACTAAATAATGTGTCACTAATAGAAAATGAACACATTTATCAACGTTTAAGCAATAATTCAATCATCAACTTTCATATCATTTTGTTTATAAAATTTATTCTTCCTAACGTTACTCTAACCAAAATATAAATTTTTTTTTATCGAGACAAAAACCACGTGGCAAGTTGGATGCATGTATTCTCAAATTAAGGCCGAAAATCTACTCAAACCATGTTTATACTTTGAGCAGAAACATCGTCATAACAAATCAACTAAAGAGATACAAACAAAGCAATGCAAGTGGTTGAAAGGGCTTGATCAACAGAAAAAACTGCATCAGCAAAATAGATTAATTAAGAAATACAATTGAGATCCAAGAGTAAATAATCAAATATATGATGAAATCATGAATTATCTAAAAATTCTTGTTTTACCAAATTAAGCTGCTCCACCATTTATCCTAGTAATGCTATAACCTGATTAAAGCTTAATTATCAGTCTCCAAATTCTTAAATCTTTTACCTAAACCCATAACAATCCGTCAGATTGTAAACACCTCAACACCTTATCAATTGCATTAGTTAGGGCTTAGAAATTGGGTTTAACACCAATAACCCAATTTGAAAAATTAATTTATGGCTTCCAATTTTACAAAGTTGCAACTTTGAAAAATTGATAAAAATATATCAGTTGAATTAAGAGATAGATGAGAATACCCATCAAAATTACGGAAAAATTTAATACACAAAAATACCAATAACATACCAAAGAGTGATGGGTTTGGGCTCATATTCTCATCAGCCGGCATTGTCATCGTATCAAATTAACTGGATGTCGAAAGATCAAGATTGTTCTTGAAACCCCAAGAAAGAATAATTCAAAGACAGATCTTACGAATAAGGCGAATAAATATAGATTTTTGGAAGGTGGGCTCACAAACTATGAAGTAATATGGCTATTGCTTGGACAACTCGTAGAGATGGGATGTATTGGATGATTTGGTTTGGGTTTCTGGGTGTGTTATCCATACATTTTTTTTTACTTTGTACACATATTTGTTAATTTCTTTTATTTGATATTCTTTAATTCAATCGATTCGACGGTTGCAAATTAAGATGGTGTGTATAAAATAAAAATAAGTATGTGAATTGAACATCCCTTTCTAGAAAGAGGAGAGAGAGAATCGATAGAGTCATTGTAATCAGGCCAATCAAGAAGCAACACGTTCATGCATGCAATGCAGAGAGACGTAACACTTGTCTGCGTTACAAAGATTCCTATATACTTGGCATATAGTGAAAGATCACAGTGATATGGATCAATAACGACTCTACTACTACCAATGCTCTCTTGGCTCTTATACTCTCCGAGTTAGGCTGCATCAGGATTCAAATAATGTCAGCAACTTCACTGTTCACTTGGCTCAATTTTTATCTTTCGACAAAATTAAGAAGAGATGATATCGAAAGTATTCAAAAAATTAAGACTGACAATAAAAGAGTCCATACTTACACATAGTTAGTGAGCAAAACATTTTTATTTTATTATACCATTAGTTTCGTTAACATCTACTTCAACGATTAATTGATGCAAGAAATTTTGTAGAGATAATTAGATATAGGATCATTACACACTTAATTATTATATTTAATTCTCAAGATTTTGTTTATTATTGAGGTCCATAGATTTTGATCCAACTTAACAACTCTCCTTTTGTATGATGATGAGTCATTCTATTTTTAAGTCTACATTTTTTATATTTTTTAAATGACATTTATACCCTAATCTTT